AATTACTTATTTACCACAAGTCATGTTTGGAGGGTATTCTACAAAGTCTTCTGGTCACTGCAGGCCTTCACCTTTCAAACGATGGTGGTAGCCAGGCTCGGCGGCAGGGTCAGACAATGCCCAAACCTTGCTGCTGGCTTTGCCTGCCCACAGAGTCAAGGCGAAGTCTCCATGGGAGGCCTGGAAGTTGTCCTGTTTTTCTTGTTTTTATCTCAGTCTATTATATATAGAGCCACTGAAGTGAGGAGCTATGGCTCTGCAGCACAAACAACAAATCCTGCAGTTTGTAAATTCTTAAAGCAAAATACATGTTACACATTTTATTTACTTTCACTGCTCAATAGGAAGAAACACATGAACAATGAAAATCAGACTGCAGTTCATGATTTTACTTTGACTGATTCATGATTAACTGCCATATTATTCTGGAAACCAAAACTAGCAAAACTGGCAACATTGCTTTGACAGACTTAGTTTTGTTTTTCTCAAAGGGAGCAAATATTTCAATCATTAACTCTTACCTTAAAAGGTTTGAAAGAGGAGGGAAGTGCTGATCACTGCAGTCGATAGCTCAGGGTGTGGGAGCCGAGAGCAACAGAGCAGATAGAAAAACAGAAAATTATGCCTTTATTTTTTACCATCTTCGACGTAAGGCCTTTTACTAGTCAATTTTGGTCTTACGGCTTGAATGTAAAATGGAACATTTTATGTTACATTTCACTGTAACTTTACTAACACCCATAAAATTGCTCTGAAAAGATTTTTCCTTTTAATTGTGCCCCATAATAAAATAGGATTTCCTTCTTGATTATTCTATCTCAATTAAGTAAAATCAAGTCTTGTATTTTGGTAATTCCATTTTTTTAGATAAATCAAGGCTAGTGAGGGTGTATAATATGTTGGGTTATCTTTCTAAGTCTTGTTGTGGCCAATGTCTTGCAGATGATTTTCAGATCTGAATAATATTTGAAGAATATTTTGTTATGTCCCGCCCCCCCTAATAAAATAGGATTTCCTCCCTTGATTATTCCATTTCGATTTGATATAGGTGGCTGTGAAGATTTGGTTTTCTGTTTGTCAATTTAGTTCCTGTGTTGCCCGTCTGCCCCTGATTGCTCCCAGCTGTGTCTTATGTTCCCTTGTTACCCCTTGTGAATATAATCCCACCTGAGTCCCCTGTTCTCTGTTGGATCCTTGTCGTAAGTCATGTCATATGTCTGATGTCCATGTACTAACATTTGCCACCAGCGTCTGAGTTCCTGGAATCTCTGCTCACTTATGCTGCCTTTGTATACTAAGGCTCATCATTAAAAATCATAATTTTTTCACACCACAACCTGGGTCTACTGCTTTAATCCTCACACTGCTAATCATGACAGAAGGATCCCACCAAAAGTAATGGTGAGGTTCGCAGAAAATAAGAAAATCAACATTATGAACCCAGATGATATGCTATTCAAGAGGGACTTTGAAGAATTACAATCAACCTTCAAAGAATATATTGATGCTACTGCTAAACCCTACTGCGTCTGAAGATGTCTCGGCATAGCAACCAACTGTGTTGTTCTGGCTTGGGGGAGCTGTTGGAGGAAGTGGAGTTGGAACATCAGGCTACCCTGGCAATCATGGATGGAAGACCACTGTCATCCTAGTCAGGTACCACAGCTCCAGTCCCATCTACGACTCCTGAACCTACCACAGCTCTGGCCCAGTAAGCTGGCCACCAGCCCCAGTAAGGAGGGCTGGCCCTCATCATCATCTGCTCCTTCCGAGTTCCCCAGTGCTCAGTCTAGTGAGTCTGCCTGTGGTCCATCCGAGACCCTGTTAAGAATTAAAAAGATGATGAACTTGATTTAGCTCTTTAATTAATTCTTTGTCCCAAATTCCTGTGTCTGTGTAAGTGTGCAGAGAGAAAAGAGCAATCATACGACGTCAGACTTCAGATATTCAGAGTTTTATCCAGAGAAATTCAATCCAAGAAGAACTTTACAATAAGCATCTCACCTAGAGCAAAAGTCCAAGACATTACAAAACAGAGACAAAGAACTGAGTAAAAAAGACAAAAGAATAACAGAAGATGCATCCTCCGGGAAACTCTCACTCAGCACAAAGAGATTCCAACTTCTGCTGTGAAACAAACCATTTTTATAGACTGCATATTCTCCTCATTTAAATATATGCATTAGGAGGTGTGTTCTTTTCCTTTGTGTGTGCTGTCTCAATGTTAATTTTATTACCTCCTGCTAAAGAGCCCCAAAAGCAGATATACGGCAAACCCTTCTCGTATCAGCCGCTGTCCAGTTTGATATATGATTGCAGCTGCAGCGCTATCTGTGCCTCAAAATGTTTCCACAAGAAAGTAGTTTGTATTTTTAACCAAGCTTGCACACAATGTAATGCTAAATAATGACTATAAGTTTGGATCTAATAAGTAACTAATTAAAAACATGCTTAAAGAAATATAGTTAATTCTAATATAGATAAAATTATTTATAAAAAGTTTTAAGATCCTAGTGAACTTTTGAACCATGCTAAGGAATTTGTTAATTGCCTGGCAGACAGACTCTGTCTAAAGAGATTCTAGGCCTGTCTTTTCTGTAGAATCCTCCCTAAGAATTTATATAAGTTCAGAGATTCAGCAGTTGTTTTAGTTTGGATCTTTATCTAAATTTATGTGAATGTAGAATGTATTTTAACTTTCTATGGTATATTTCATATGTATCAAAACTATCCTGTGTAGTATTGTGCTAATTTAAAATATTATTTCAACAACCCCCATCTCTTGCCTTGTGATCAGTGATGATAAATCATACAATTACATGAGGCACACTAATTTCTATTGAAAATTAAGTCATTTTCAATATTTTTAATATTTAAAAAATATGTTTTTTCTTCAATAGCTTTCAAGTCATGTGACCCATGACTTGGGTCACATGAATCAAAATCGGTGTGAAACTGTTCTACTAGACTGTACAGATGTGGTACATTTATTTCTATCCCATTTTAGGTTTTTAAAAATATTCCATTCATTTATCCATCCATTTTCTGTTCACCCTTGTCCCTCGTGGGGTCAGGACATGCTGGTGCTTATCTCCAGCTGCGTTCCAGGCGAGAGGCGGGGTACACCCTGGACAGGTTGCCAGTCTGTCGCAGGGCAACACAGAGACAAACAGGACAAACAACCATGCACACACACACTCACACCTAAGGAGAATTTGGAAAGACCAATTAACCTGACAGTCATGTTTTTGGACTGTGGGAGGAAGCCGGAGAACCTAGAGAGAACTTTTAAAAATATTTTCAGCAATTTTTTCAAGTTACACAAAGGTTTGTTCAACTTTGTGGTAACAGGTTGGAGCTGGCCCCTTCCTCTTCCAACATGACTGTGCACGAGAGCACAAAGCAAGGTTCATAAAGACATTGGATGACAGAAGGGTGGATGAACTTTACTGGCCTGCACAGAATCCTGACCACAACCCGCTAGAACACCTTTGGGATACATTGGAGAGGAGAGTCAGAGACAGGCCTTCTCTTTCCAACAATCAGTTAGGTGACCTCACAAATAAGTGTAACATAGTTAAAATATTGTACAGAATTCCACTTGTCTTTACTTCCAAGTTTGGGTTCAGATGTAATGGGTGAAACAGCACCCCCTGCTGGTGGTTGGCAACGTTAACTATAGTGAACATAGATATCTCGTTGCCAGTCATGAGAGATGGGCGGGAGGTAGGTTCACTGGGAACATTGTAACGGTCCTGTGGAATGTTCTGTTAGTTTGTTGCTAACATAAAATACTATTCCTCGTAAGGTGCTGTACTGCCGGTGATGAACCTGGTCCCTGATTATTTTATATCCTGTTTCATCCAGGTACATATTGTTTCATTTATTTATTGTTTTATTTCCTTGTAATTCTGTCTAATGTTAATGTATAAAATACGGCCGTTGGCCAGTTCATGAGAGATGGGCGCGAGGTGCTGTACTGCCGGTGATGAACCTGGTCCCTGATTATTTTATATCCTGTTTCATCCAGATAAACTTCATCTTGTGTCATCCTGTCTCCTGGTCCATATTCACACAACGCAGAGTAATGACGAAAAGGCATAATAATTAAAAAGGTTACATAAGCTTAAAGAAAAATGGTCAAAAATCCACATCAACACACTCCTAAACCTTGTGGACAGTCTTCCCAGAAGTGTTAAAGCTGTTCTAGCTGCAAAGGAATAGAACAGAATATTGAACCCTAAGGATTAGAAATGGGATTTCAATTATGTAAGTCAAGACAGCTTAAAACTTTTGGCAATATATAGGTAAAAAAAATGCTAGTTCAACTACAATATTGTTATAATTCACATTAATAATTAATAACGAAAATCCTAATTAGCACTAATAAAAAAATCATTAAACATGCAAGAGAAGGTTGTGAGTTAGCTAATGTGTTTGTTTTTTCAAGGTCCAAAAGCTTGTTTCTATTAATCTTTTGAGAGATGCCTGTTTCATTTTCTTTCAGAGAAATAAGTTTCTTCATTGAATGTGAATAATTTATTCTAGATTTACCTGAGTTTTGAATTAGGGTTCAATAGTCGGGCTGTGGGGAACCCAGATGGACAGGTTCACCCAAAACTACAGTCGTTTGAAAATGGCTACCGCTGGAACCATCACAAGTGCTAAAGTATATTATGATGAAGCAGTTTGTTCTTCTCTCGTTCTCTTTATTGCCAGGGCAACAAACCTCTCTGCACCCAGGATGTGCAGAGAGGTTCCTCCCCCTCACCCCCACCTTTACCACACTGGTCCTCACGTTCCAGTCACCTCTTAACGTAGTGATGACGTTCCACTTATTATTTTGTCTGTGAATATTCTTAATTTTGTAATTGACACGTATTTTGCAACTGAGAGGTGTAGAAACAGGATGTCACGATGTTAATCCGTATTGTGGTCACGTGCTTTCAGTTCGGGCCACGCCTCTAGATCACACAGACTCTCCCAGCTCTGCGCTCAGAAGCATGGAGAGAGGAATAGAGAGGCAGAGAGAGAGGGAGAGAGAGGAATAGAGAGAGGAAGAGAGAGAGACAGAGAGAGGGAGAGAGAGGAATAGAGAGAGGAAGAGAGAGAGGCAGAGAGAGGGAGAGAGAGGAATAGAGAGAGGAAGAGAGAGAGGCAGAGAGAGGGAGAGAGAGGAATAGAGAGAGAGGGAGAGAGAGGAATAGAGAGAGGCAGAGAGAGGAATAGAGAGAGGAAGAGAGAGAGGCAGAGAGAGAGGGAGAGAGAGAGGCAGAGAGAGGAATAGAGAGGCAGAGAGAGAGGGAGAGAGAGGAATAGAGAGAGGCAGAGAGAGAGGGAGAGAGAGGAATAGAGAGAGGCAGAGAGAGAGACAGAGAGAGAGAGAGAGGAATAGAGAGAGGAAGAGAGAGAGGCAGAGAGAGGGAGAGAGAGGAATAGAGAGAGAGGGAGAGAGAGGAATAGAGAGGAATAGAGAGAGGCAGAGAGAGGAATAGAGAGAGGAAGAGAGAGAGGCAGAGAGAGAGGGAGAGAGAGAGGCAGAGAGAGGAATAGAGAGGCAGAGAGAGAGGGAGAGAGAGAGGCAGAGAGAGGAATAGAGAGAGAGGCAGAGAGAGAGGCAGAGAGAGGAATAGAGAGAGGCAGAGAGAGCAGCAGGAACGCGGACCTGAAGTCAGGATTTGACGTCCTTAACGTATCAAAGCGGAGTAAGTCTCGTCGTTTTTACGTCAAACTAAAAGGTGTTTCTTTAATTATGGGTTTCAGTGGAAATGATTGTCGTAATACTAAATATAAGACTCTGCTGATGACAGGTAACAGGTGAAAGCGCACTTCATTGGCGCAACAGTGTCCTGTATGTTGATGCCATTTCCCTCAGTGACGCTTATTTTGTGCTGTTTTGTGCTGCTACAGTCCAGTAGCTCTAGACTATTAGACTGTTTTGCCGTGTCGTCCAAATGGATTTTTAATCGCCATAACACGAGTCATAATTGTTTCATTTCTGATTTTTTCACGGCTTCATGTAACTCTGTCAGCTGACACTTCCTGTTATGTATTTTCATCCTCTTCAGTTGGTAGAGAAGATGTTGATTCTCTGGCTACTGACTTTTACTCATAACCCGAAATAATGTTGATTTGAAATTATTAAAGGATTAAAGGACGACAGACCTTTATTTTGAATTTCCTATCAGAATATTTTCTCACTTAACAATCTAGTATAATAACATCACACTGCTACACTGAGCACCTTCAAAACTAGAGAAACATTTTCTGTTCAACGCAAGATTTTGAACTTATAAGATGTTCTTATCTTGAATATCTTCATTATAGAACATCCCATTCTTCCCACCTCATGTTGAACTTAAGATGAAGAACATCCCCATGAGATGGAGATGTTTGTCATCTTATAATGATGTTTTCATGATGAACATTTTCAATAAGATGCAGATTATCTTATCCTTCACTCCCCACATTGAACACAAAATGTTCAAGAAAATCTTAATAGCATGATGTTCTTCACTATATGAAGACACTCCGACGTTGAACATCTTCAGTACAAGAATTTGTTCAACATAAGATGTTGACGAGAGCAGCGGAGACATCAGCGGCTTGTAGCCTGGTGCAACTTATATATGTACCTTTCCAATTTTTTTCAAAAATTCTGTAGGTGCAGCTTATAGTAAGCTCAATACCTCTATATTCTAGTAAGGTCTATAGTCTGTAAAACACAGTGACATATTGATGACCTGAGCAAATATTTAGATTTACATAACTACATTCTTGCCTAAAACATTGTAAAAAAAAATCAAGCGTAATATAACAAAATGATTTGCCACCCTTTACTCCCATTGCTGCTTTGCCTTAATGTCCGGTTTGGACCTGCAATGAATCATGGGATTTGGTGGCCCATACCAGAGCCATATGTCAAATCTGAGGAAAAGCAGGACGCATTTGTTGCCCAGATTTGGAGAAGCCTTTGAATTCGGACAGGCCTTATCACGGTATGCGGCTATGGTGCAAAAGCAGCCTATAAATCCAGCCTTTGAGGGACGCAGCCTCTGAATTCAGACATGGGTACAGAGTCCACTCCCTACAATTTGACCACATGACACCGGATCCTGCACCACCTTTTCTGCTTCCTCTACCTCCTGTCTGCGCCACCTCTTGGATCCAACTACCATCTACAGAGAGCCTGGTGGTCTATGTTGTCTGGGATGCTATGTTAACTTTAATCATAAGATTAAAGTTTCTCAAAACAAATATCTGGTGTTTGTTCCCAATTAAAAGCATCTGATGGGTGTACTGGCTGTTCGCAGTATCTGTGAAGCAAAAAGCAAAGAGAGCCGTAAGCCGCTCCAACTATACGTGGCGCCAACAACAATTAGCCCAGGATATTCATGTTTTCAGCAAAAACCAAAATTGAACCAAAAAAAGGGAGCATCAAAACCAACATTTTGAGAACCAAAGATTTCTCAATAAATTATTTAGAGTTTTTGCGGCACTAGTGGCTCGTATTTTTGACAGTTGGCAGACAGGAGAGAGGGCGAGGAGGACCTTACAGCAAAGGTCGCCAGGACCGGGAGTTGAAACCGCAACATCCACCACAGCAAAGCCCAAGGAAAGGTTTATGTTTTCCAAATAACCTTTTCTCTTCATGAGACAAAAATAGTGAATTTTCATTCAATTTGAATTTTAAATTGTTTTTTAGATAGAACTTATTTTATACATTTCAATACAAAAAAAATATTCATTACAATTTCCTAAAGTTTTGGACACATTTTAACCGATTAAAATGTGGTCTAAATATTAAATTGTTTGAATAATATTAAGACAAATTTACCCCCATGCTACGTACACATCTCTTTTATGAGTTTCATTAAAAAAATAAACGTCATGTATTTGTCTTTTACTTCACGTTCTTCTTTTTGTTGATTTATTAGATATTAATTCCCAAGCTTATTTCCCAGTGTGATTTTGAGACGTAATGAGAATTTAAAGGGACATGAATACTTTTACATTGCACTGTAGTGTCTCTGATGTCAGGTTTCCTTACACTGTTTTGTTCAAGTTGTGTGTTTTATCAATGACTGCGTCAACTCCTTTGTGTGTTTCTAGCTCTCAGACTATGGACAATTTAATCCCCCACCATGGTGGCTCTGTGTTTGCGGGGCTGGTGGGAGCATCACAGGTGCTCGGCCTTGTGTCTGTGGTTCTGACCGGGGTGTGGATGGGTCACTACCAAGGCGGTTTTGCCTGGGATGGTTCAGCTCATGAGTTCAACCTGCACCCTCTTTGCATGGTGCTAGGCCTGATTTTCCTGCATGGCGATGGTGAGAAAACCCACACATACGTTTTATTTTAGTCCACACAGAATACATCTCTTTCAACATGCCATTTGTTTGCATTTGAAGAATACAAAGAACATCTTAAGTGATAAAGGCCAGTAACTTGTCTCTCTAGATCTTATTAATTCAGCATGATTCAGGAATCCAACTATTGGCCATACTTGCAAGAAAGACTGATTTCTTTATTGATTTATTGGGCAGGGAGCCTGATATAGCTCAGGTATATATCTCATCAACTTCTGAGGACATTTTCTTGAACATATGGCTATGATAATGTGAAAAGTTATCTTGTTTCTATTAAGTTTGAAAACATTTTACCAATAGTCAAATCGGTTCCGTATTGCTTTTTGGATAAAATTTAAGATTTAGTGATTGTTTTTAAGTGTTTGAACTCCATGGGGCTTAAATACTTACCTAAGTGAGTTCTTGCAGCCCTACCTACAGCCCACCCAGAGCCCTAAGGTCAACAGACCAGATTTTATTGACAGTCACTAAGGCTAAGCTAAAAACTAGAGGGGACAGAGCCTTCTCTGTGGAGCAGTCTTCCTCTCTGTTAAGCTTTCTCAGTCAGTCGGTCAGTTAAAGTCCAGACTGAAAACTCATCTATTCTCTCTGGCCTTCAACACCTGTTAAAGAAAAGAAGGAAAAGGAGGGAAGAAAATTGTTGCAGTTAAAATTTTTAAATTGTTTGGTTTTCATTCATGGTATTAGCTTTTGTTATCTCTGCCAATTTTATATTTGTCTTATTATTTTTACTAAACTTAATTTTATTTTTATTTTATCATTTATCTACCTGTGATGTTGTTTGTTGTGAAGCACTTTGGTCAGCTGAGGCTGTTGTAAATGTGCTCCATAAATAAACTTTGACTAATTTTCTGGGTTCCAAATAAGACCATTTAGTCAGGTGGAACAACTAGTGAGGTCAAAAATCTTATCTGATGCGGTTCCTCACCATCCCTTAGGGTCCAGTATAATTTTACACAGTTCAAAGAATGAATTGATGTTATTATCTGACCAGAGCAAACTCTTCATCCTATTTGCTGTGTCATGTACATGGTGTGTGGTAGACTACAAAAATAACTTCTTTTGACTTTCTTCCAGCCACAATTTCATAGAGATCCAATTTATAGAGTGAATAGCTAATAGTTGTGCATTTGACATATTCTACCACCAGTCAGAGCATCACAGAACAAGTCAATATTTTTTTTCAATAAAATTCTGACTCACTCTATCAGTTTCAGATTGACAGGCATCTGGTTTTTGTTTTCCTAATTCAACTGGTCAGCAGCCTGAGGCTAAACAGATATTAGCCACTGTAACCACAGTCGCAAAACACCACACCAAATCATTCTCTGAGCCTTCTCTGTGAGAAGGCTAAAATTTGCTCTGAACAATGCCTGTACATCCTTAAGACAATGCTGTAGCATATCTACAGCAGACTGGTTAAATAGTGTTTTTTTACACTGTAGCACTTATTCATTTCAATTCAAAAATTATTTATTAGCCCCAAAATAAATCAATCCCCCAAATGTTGCTGTAACTCATTACAACACCTCATGTACTTCCTTTATATTTTTTATAGGAAGAGAATTATAAAAATACCTCTTGTAACACAACAGAAAAAAAATGTAGCTTGATTTTGTGAACAATTTAACATCAGGTCTTATGCTGTGTCTCAATTATATGAGATGTTCAACACAAGATGAAGAATATCTTCACGAGATGATGTTCATCTCATGAAGATGTTCTCATGCTGATGTAGCGTAGTGGATTATGCATTGTGTCTTGTGGGCAATAACAGCCAGAAATAAAATAAAATAAAATAAAATAAAAACAATTCTTAAATACGTTGGCTGAAAGAAAGAAAAAATACTCAAAAAGAACAGAAAGCTATTTTCCTTCTGACAAGCAGCCTCCTTCACCTCAATATACAATCGTAATCTAATAAAGCAAAAGTTTGGTTTGGCCTGGGTGACATCACCATTAACCACACAACATCAGAACAAATAAAGACAAGAAGAATCGGGTTAAAAATAAATCAAATAAGGACGCAACAAGTGGATGAGTTCAAAGTGCATTTTGGTTGTTCAGGTCTCTCATATTAAAAAGTTAAATTAAAAAGTTTTCTTGTAGCTGCTGATGACTGTGGGCCAGAATGATCTCCTGTAACAGTCTGTATAGCAGAGATGTAGAAGTAGCCTCTGACTAAAGACATTGTTGTCAGTCTGAAGAAGGTGCTCAAGGTTGTCTCTGATGTTATTGAGCTCTTGGTACAATCTACAGAGGTTCCAGAGCAGTCCCCAGGACCAAACCAACATTTGACTATTGGTAAAATGTTTTCAAACTTAATAGAAACAAGTTAACTTTTCACATTAATCATAGCCATATGTTCAAGAAAATGTCCTCAGAAGTTGATGAGATAAATACCTGAGCTATATCAGGCTTCCTGCCCAATAAATCCTGAATAAATATCAGTGAATTCAATATACTACTTTCTCTTGACTTAGTTGGTGGCTACAACATTTCAAAGATTTTATTCACTTTTTATCAGAAACTATATTGCATAATGTAGCGTGACTGGCAATCTCATCCTTCAGTAAAATGCTATATCTATTTGATAGGAAGGCTGGCCCCATACAATATTAAGAAGATTTGAACCAGTTATGGTAAAATCTCTTTTCTTCCTTTCTGAGTTCATGATCTAGCCAACTACTCCTTTTAATGCTTGTTTTTTCAAACTTTTTTATAAGTTGAGTTCTCTCCAAACTCCACAAATGGTTTGACACTTCTAAGAGAATAGCAGATTTTGTTGACACTGCACGGCGCACACTGCAGCAGATCCTGATAATGCCTTTTTACTCAGACTACAAAACAATATGAATTATCCTGCTCAATTGTTTGGTGTCTGTAGCCTTTGGTAGCTTCACAAATGAGAATAACCACATTAGACCAACTGGTGCAGTCCTGAATTGCATTATGTCAATAAAAGAAAAGGTCAGTTATATATTAGATGGTGACTGTAATGGGGAAGCTGACGTGTTGTAAAGCCCCCGTGGCTTCCTCACCCAGGCATAAACAGATAAGGGAGCTAATGTAGTTATATTGAAAAGTACGTATACTATTCTACTCACAATATTTTCTTCCTTTTTGTCAGAAATCAACAACTGATATGAGCTAAGTGGACATGCTGTAATGAAAGGAAAACGTTCATGTTTCTGGAAGTGGATCTCTTGTTACATACAATGTTGTACACAAAAAGTTGCCTCTAAATAAACTCAGACAAACCTACTCATACAGATGCATTGTTAATTTCTTTGATAGCCTAGTTCTTGTTTGCTCTGAAATGCAACAAATACTGTGGCTATAACACCAATGTATTTTTCAATACATTGTATTTTGTATATTTGTATTTTGTGATGACTCCTCAAATTTTCAGGTTAATGTGCAGTCACATTAACAAGTTCCATTAACCACACATCAGAACAAATTGGACTGTGTTGAAATAGAATTTTAAATGAGCACAATCGTACACAGGCTAACCTTTATGTTAAGAGAAAATAAGATAAAGATCCAAACTAAAACAACTGGTGATTCTCTGAAACTTACCTAAATTTCTAATCAGAAGGCAGTCTTATACTCCCTAAGGACGGTTTTCAGACAGGGAGCGTTTTGGCTATCAGGATAATAAATTCTTTACTCAGAGTTCAAGAGTTCAGGCAAACATTAAAAACTATAGAAGTCTTTTACAAAATATAATCTAAACACATTAAGATATTTCCTTAAGCATTAAACAGCATGTTTTGAATTAGTTAGTTTTAAATTCAAACGTATAAGTTACTATTTTTTAGCATTAGATTTTGTTTATGACATATGACATTCTTGAAGGTCACATGGACAGAGAACTAGCTGCTCTTAATGATATTTATGATCAATACAGAGCAATAGATGGACCACCTCATGATATACGTTCCAAATTAGACAAATGTACATCAGTGACTAAGTTAGTTTTGCAAAACATCCAGGATTGGCACTGGATTTGTTGAGGGAACAAATAAGGAGGAGATTGTTTGGCCTGATGCCAGTTCTATATTTACATCTTCTAGCTCAACTAGTGTCTCAGTTCATAGTCATTTTAAACCCAGTTCAGTTATCTCTAATGGCTCCTCCGCCAAAAGACAAGAAGCTGCAGCAGAGTATGAAGCCACAAAGGCTGTGCTTAAGATAATGGCTGAACAAGAGAAATTTAGAGAAAAAATGCAAACCATAGAAGAAGAAGAAGACAAACTCATAACTGCAGAACAAGAAGCTGCTGCGATGTCACAATGCCATCAAGAGGAAAGAGAGGAAACAGAACGCAAGTTAAAAAGAGAAAAAGAGAAGGCGGCTGTGATAAAGAGACAACAAGAGAAAAGTGCTGCGAGGAAAAGATCAGTTGAGGACTTAAAAAGAGAAATTGAAAGACTGGAAAATCTGAAAGGACTCAATGCAGCAAAGGCAAAATTACAAGTTTATGAAGAAGACTACTTTTTAGTAAAGCAAGAAAGAATCACTCCGAATCCTGCAAACATACAGGTAACTGAGTGAAGAACACTGCCAATCAACCACCACAGTTAAATGTTGTTCACGAGAGCACAGGTGAGCTTGTAAAAGTTTTGGCAGAAGCTATGTCAGCTAATAGGCTACCAATTCCAGAGCCTTCAATATTTAGTGGGGATCCACTTAAGTTTAAACATTGGAAAGCATCTTTTCAGACTCTAATAGAGAGAAAGAACATTCTCATTGCAGAAAAGATATTTTTCTTACAGAAGTATGTAAAAGAAGCCTTAGAAGGCTATTTTCTGATTGGCTCTGAAGATTCTTATATGGCAGCATGGAATATGCTCAATGATTGTCATGGAGAGCCTTTTGTTATTGCTAAGGCCTTTAGGGACAAGTTGCACACATGGCCAAAGCTCCAAGGTAAAAACAGTGCAGAGTTAAGAAAGTTTGTGGATTTCTTACAAAGTTGTCAATCTGCAATGATTATCAATGAGAACCTGAACATCCTCAATGATGCAATAGAGAATCAAAGACTTGCTGCTAAACTGCCAGACTGGTTAAGCAACAGATGGAACTGAAAGGCTACAGAGTATCAGCTAGAGCACAGACAGTTCCCACGTTTCAGTTACTTTGTAACATTCCTGTCAATGGAGGCAAGTATTGCATGTAATCCCATTACATCATATCAAGCTATAAGACAAGGTGACTTTGACAAACCAAAGACAAAACCTCTACTTACACCCATTATAAGAAGCGAAATACAGCGAACATCTTCACAACTAACTCCACAGAAAGAAGCATGATCTCTTGTGTATTTTGTAAAAGAGCAGGACACAGCTTACACAAATGTCGTAAGTTCACTGAGATACCAGTCACTGAGAGAGTCAAGTTCATTCAAGGTGAAAAACTATGTTTTGGCTGTTTAAATAGTGGTCACTTCTCCAAGAACTGCAGCAATCGGATGACATGCAACACATGCTGAAAACAACATCCCACATGTCTGCATGAAGAAAGACAAAGACACGAGACAAAGAAAGAACAACCTAAAGAACAAGAAGTAGCTGAAGGGAAGGAAACCCAGGAACAAGTAACACAATCACAAGAAACAACGAAAGCACATCTAACAGAGTGACTCATGAAAGTAGAAACACACAGACATCTGCAATAGTACCTGTCTATGTATCCACACAAAATGAGCCAAGCAAAGAAATACTCACCTACGCTCTGCTGGACACACAGAGTGATTCGTCTTTTATTCTCAGTGAAGTAGCAAACAACCTGGACACAGCTAAAACCCAGGTTAATCTCAAATTATCTACAATGTCATCCAAGAAAACAACTGTAGCATGTACAAAACTTGAAGCTCTGCAAATAAGAGGATTGTTTTCCAAAAAGAAACTCATTGTGCCAGCTGCTTACACACGTGATTTTATACCTGTCAATCGTAGCCATATTCCTACTCCAGACACTGCAAGGTCATGGCCACATTTGGAACATCTCACTGAACACATTGCTCCACCATTAGAATGTGAGATAGGACTCCTGTTAGGCTATAATTGCACACAAGCCTTAATCCCCAGAGAAGTCATATGTGGTGAAGAAAACCAACCAGAAAACAAATTTGGGTTGGAGCATCATAAGTTACTGTGATTCGTGTGATGCAGGCAGCAATGTAATTGGAGTAAGTCATCGCATCACTGTAAAGCAAGTAATACCAGAGACTGAGCCAACCACAAAGCTAAAGAATAAAGTTCATTACATCTGCAAGACACAAATTAAAGAAGTAACGGGTCCAGAGGTAATCAAAGCACTGGAATTAGATTTTACAGTGGAAGAAACAAGCATTTCACAAGAAGATGTCTGCTTCCTAAAAAGCTGCAAGAAGGAATCAAACAAAAGCAAGATGGACATTATGAAATGCCTCTGCCTTTCAAAAGTGACAGACCAAATCTTCCCAACAACATGTCAAGTGCAATGCAACGTTTAAACAGTCTCAAACGCAGATTCATAAGGGATCAAAGGTATTACACAGATTATGCAAGGTTCATGGAGGACATTATTGCACGTGGTGATGCAGAGAAAATACCGGAGAAGGAAATCTGTAATTCCCCTGCCTGGTATATTCCCCATCATGGGGTATACCGCCCTCAAAAGCCTGGCAAGATCCGTGTTGTTTTTGACTGCTCTGCACAATATCAAGACACTTCGCTGAATGAACACCTGCTTACAGGGCCTGACTTCACAAACACTTTGGTGGGAGGAAGGGCTCAGTGGCTGTAATGTGCGACGTGGAGCGTATGTTTCATCAGTTCCATGTAACACCTCAAGACCAGGATTATTTACGCTTCTTATGGTGGGAGCATGGTGATTTAAGTGTTCCCCCCTCAGTCTTTCGCATGAAGGTTCACCTGTTTGGTGCAGCTTCTTCACGTGGTTGTGCCAATTTTGGTTTAAAACATCTAGCCACACAAGGTGAGGGAAAGTTCTCTACAAATACAGTAAAGTTCATTCAAAGAAACTTTTATGTAGATGATGGACTTGTAAGTGTTGCATCAGAAGCAGAAGCAATAAAACTAGTCAAAGAAGCAAGAGAGCTGTGTAACACAGCTAAACTAAAATTACACAAGTTCATATCAAACAGTGAAAATGTGTTAAAATCACTGCCCAGACAGGAGTGTGCTGACAGTATTAATGATTTGGATCTAGCACTTGGAGAGCCACTGATGGAAAGAGCACTTGGTGTTCAGTGGTGCATCTCTTCTGATGCTTCTCACAGTTCCTTGTTGTTACTCCCTCCTTGTGTCACTTTCTGAACATAAACTTTAATGTCTGGTTTTCTGGACGTCTTTATGAAGGAGCAACCGTTGAACGTGTGTCCGTTATCGTTTGCAACCGTCCGATCTTTGTGCTTGTGAACTTAAATCATCTTTCTACAGAACTTTCTCAGGACAACAGGAACTTGAGCTTAATTGATTATACTGTAATGTCTTCTAGACTTTTACAGCTAAATAGTTGAAATAAAGTAATTTTTCTCTCGCATTGGTTATATCTGGGCACAGCATTTGTGCTGGATTTAGTGTTGATTGTCAGATTAATCCTGTGTTTTTCTTATTTTTTCTGCAAACTACAGGGGGCAAATTCATTGCAGGCCTCATTTAATTGCAGGACACTGGAGGGTGTGTGAGCCTGTCAACTGTTGCTAATCAAGCTTGAGCATTGTTAGTTTTTGTTTACGGTTTCTGCAAATTTCCCTTCCATGCTTTATTGTTGAGTGAAAGCTACACAGTTTCTTTCTTGATTTCATAATAAATGTGAAGTTGAGTTTTACGCCATTTACATTGGGCCCTCCAGCAAAGCTGTCTTGTAGATCTGTTTGTGCATTTCTCCATGGAGACTTAGGTTTGCCTCAGGTCATGATTTTAAACTTCTTTGGGAAAATTACAGAAACACAAACGTTAATAAAAATCATGCAGCAATTACAAACATTAATTCTTAACATGTTTCTGTGTATCACAGAAACATAAAAACATAGATTAAAATGTTGAGCCTGCAAAACACAGTCTATGGTTCACTTCTAAAACCAGTAAAGAAATGCAAGCACTTGTATGTATAGGTAAAATAAATTTTAAACATTATTGTTTTTCACACCTGATGAAGACCTATTTTCTCTCTTTTTAGCTATTTTAGTTTACAGAGTTTTTTGTAAAGAAGCAAAAAAACATGTGAAGCTGCTTCATGGGATTATTCACCTGCTCGCCCTCATCATCAGCATCATAGGTAAGAGAAAGCTGAATCAGTAAACTTTAACGTTGTAGGGAAAAGTCATTACTTCCTGTCATAAAACTGTCCTGTAAAATATTGTGTGTCCAGGGTTTGTAGCTGTGTTTGACTTTCACAGAGCAGCCAAGATCCCAGACATGTACTCTCTTCACAGCTGGTGTGGCATGGCCACCCTAATCTTCTTCTGCTTACAGGTATAAATGCACACACTCACATGCTTGCAGTGCCTTGCAAAAAATATTGTATTGCTTTCTTTGAAAATGTGTACACCCACAAACAAAGTAGTGCATAAATGTGTAATCATGATTGATGGTATTATAGTGAAATAATGATGTTATTAGATGGTAATAAAGTGAAAAGTTTGGCATGTAATTCTATCAAACCCCCTGTATTCTTACACCATCAATTAAAATGGTGTACAACTGATTTCTTTTTGTAGTTGTCCAATGGCACTCATCGCAAATGACATCAAACATTTAGAACACTGATTTCCACGGAGGAACTTGGCAATTAGTGCCTTCTTTCCACACTGAGCTTCTGTATGAAATCAGGGTTTCACCCAGTGCATTACAAGCCTGGTGGCCCGCCATGTTTCACTAGCCGCCCCATTAGTAGTTTTGCTTGTATTAATCTGGATACAAGCATCTCTGTTGCTCTGAGGGTTTCACTGCCAGAGCAAATTTATTTCTAAAAGATACATTTGTAGTTTATGCATTTAAAGGTGGGAGAACAAATCAATCACACAGCTAATGCCTCTGCACATTTTCACCTGCACTGCTGCTGCTTGATCTCTGAAGTTACCTCAGCGCAGATCATATCCATCTCCTTCCACTCAAACTGGACATAGACTGACCTGTCTGGATACTTACATCAACACCCTGCGTGGAATTATTTTTCTTTGGCGAACTTCACATCAAGGTGAAAGTTTAAAACCCACTGTGTTAGCTCTGGTTGAGCAGCGCTAGTGAACTGCAGGAATAACTCACCATGCAGGGCCGGTCCAAGGCTATAAGAGGCCTTTTGTTGCTAAAAACATCATCACCTCTGACAGCTTCCATGTTAGATGAGGTGAAACCTGAAATACTAGTTGTGGGTTAGCTAGCATTTCACTGGTGATGTTTTCCTGTAACATATACTCATATATGTATATATAATATGTATTTTCCTGTAACCCAGTTTATTTTTACTTCTCCTGTCCACCTAACATCTTTAAATAACAAAAACACGGTGGACCGCCTCGGTGCTCAGACCACCGGGCTTAGCAAGTTTTCTGGAAAGAACATTGAAACAATACTCGCAACATCGCTATTCTGTTTGCACTTCCTTTGTCCAAACACTCAGCAATAGTGACATCATTTGTGATCAGTGTCATTAGAATCTTGAAAACAAAGGAACACAACAGAAAGGGTTCTGTTTTCAATTTGCTGCAAGCAGTCAAGGATCTATGTCTGCAACATGCTGGATAGTGAACTTTCTGACCTAAAGGCAAAACGCAATTTTCCAAAACCTAATTCTCCATCTCACCCTAAAACCACCACCATCCGGTGGAAAGTGGGACTACACCATGTATATAATAATTACATATATAATTATACAATTATTTATTTATATGTAATATATAATTAATCTTTCTATATTATTTATTTAGAGATGAAAGGGCAAAAGATGTCAGTATTTCTGTTCATAACTAGTATAAAAACACTACTACATAATGACTGTTAATGCCCTAAATTATTAAAGTGTTTGAATCCGACACATTTTTTAGATGTTTTTTCCTGCCCCTTCACAATCAAAAAAACACGTTTTTTTATGTTTCTTGGTTGTATCATCACAAAATGTGAAAATATTCCAGAATGTTTTACTGGCCCATATACAATACAGCTTAAAAGAAAAGCATACTTATTGCTTATGTGTCTGTTTATCCCAGTGGGTGTTAGGTTTGCTGTTTTTCCTTTTTCCTGTTGCATCGTCATGGTTGCGAGCCACATACCTGCCTATCCATGTCTTCTGTGGACTCACTCTGTTGGTAATGGCTATAGGGACGAGCCTGCTTGGCATCACAGAGAAACTCATGTTCAGCATTAGGTAAGTGTCTGTTTGCATGTGCCACTCATAGTAGGCACTGACTTTGATTATAGAAGTTTTTTTTGTTTTGTTTTTTCAAATAAACAAGATGCTTTGATTGCATGACAACGCCAGAGTGCCTCCTGCAGAGGGAGTAAGTGTTAAAGATTTGTGCAACACAGTATATATATTATTGAATATTCTAAAATTCAATAAGAATATTTTATTGAATAAGATGAAATATTAGATCCAATGTGGATGATGTAGTAATTGTAGAGAGCCAAATATCACATTACAACAAACTGCTCAAAAATATGTTAAGCAACCAAAATAATATGTTTCGACATTTGAAACCAGTATCTAAATAAAATAACATACGCATTTTTTCATTTTAGGTCAGTTAGGATTATCAACATTTTTTTCTATTTTGTGGGAGAGATTTTTTACAGCAATGTTTATTACTTTCTTAAAAATCAAAAATTTATTTCAACTTTACGAGTATTTGGTTCCATTGAAGCGCAGCAAAACAGCCCCACTCCATAACGCTTGTGGATGATATGGTCCTACTGGTTTCATCAAGTCATGATCTACAACTTTCAGTGGAGCGGTTCACAGCCAAGTGTGAAGATGCCGGGATGACAATTAGTGCCTCCAGATTCGAGGCTGATGGAAAAGAGCAGAGTGCCTTCTCCAGGTCGGATAGGATGACCTCCCCCAAGTGGAATAGTTTTAAGTATTTCAGGTTCTTGTTTACGAATTAGGGAAACGTAGAGCGGGAGATCGGCAGGCGGATTGGTGCAGGGTCTGCAGAGGTCTGTTCTGGTCAATCGTGGTGAAGAGAGAGCTGAGTCAAAAAGCGAAGCTCTCGATTTATCAGTCAATCTACGTTCCTACCCTCAATTATGGTCATGAACTTTGGATCATGACTAAAAGAATGAGGTCATGAATATAAGCGGTCAAAATGAGTTTCGTCCCTGGAGTGTCTGGGCTCTCCCTTAGACATGAAGTGAGAAGCTTGGCCATAGGTGAGGGACTGAGAGAAGAGCCACTGCTCCTTCATGTGAAGCGAAGCCAGTTGAGGTGGTGTCTTGTATCTGGTTTGGATGCTTCCTGGACGCCTCCCTGGTAAGGTGTTCCGGGCCCCTCCCACCAGGAGGAGTATACAGTATTTCACCCTGAAACAATGCATCACTGACCTTCTATATCAAACTAATGTATGATGGTGTATTGGTCTGTGACATAAAGTAGGTACAACTTTGTCGTTTTAATGTGATATGTGAAAAAGTTAAATGGGCATGAATACTTATGCAAGGATATAATGTTGCTGACTTACTGCATGCTGTCTTCACTATATTATAGTTTTTGTTTCTGTTCACAGAGATACATACTCTCTGTTTGCTCCAGAAGGGGTGCTGGCCAACATGTTGGGGGTCCTGCTGCTGCTTTATGGGGTGCTGTTAGTTTACCTGATCACCAGGGAGGAGTACAGACGTCCCCCAAACCCTGAGGAAGAGTCTCTGTCTGTCCACTTCAAGAACCTGACAGAGGGTGGGGTGCCAACAACACCCTGAAGCTCCAACTGACACTGATGCATCTGGACCTTCCCCATAAAAAACAATGTTTGTGTAAGCTGTGATTTTCACAAAGTATAAAATAATGAACAGAGAGCAGTTATGATTTTCTCTACCCTGAAAACAAAACTCATTTTATTTTCACTTTCCTCCCAGCTAGTTTGCTGGGAGGAAAGTGAAAAATTGTGTATTTGTGCTACAGAATATGAATCTATTGATGCATCACACAGAATGACTGAAATACGCACGTATCATAAACTACATTTGTGAAAATAGCAACAGTTATTGGTGCTAAAAAAAGGAGTATTAAAGATTAATTTCAAAAAAGCAATTATTTCCCTTTATTCATAGAAGTCAGCTACTTCAAAGTTTTAGGAGCGATTGCCAAATCAGTATTTTATTCAAGACAGTTTAATTTTAAATATTTTCTTTATTCAACTCAGGAAGTATCACAGAATTCTGTCTTTATCAAAGCAGTTACATTATAAACAGATTAAAATAAATTGCTCTGTAATGACAACAGCAGCAGAAAACACAATAATAATATTAAGAAAAAGAAAATCAATCAGTTAAGCTGGAAATAAAATTCCTACTCCATGTGCCTGGTCAATGGGGAGCTTTCTAAGAGGATATGTGGTGGTAACACTACAGAGGTTTTGGAGTGCATAAAACATTAAATGAATTCTACACACCTTTGAAACATTTTCATATGCAGAAGGAGGGGTTCAGCCAATCACAGAACTTCCTAGCTGCATGCTTTCAGTGTTGTGCCCAGATTGGGCAGACACTCATTTGCCACAAAATTAGCCTCTAATGAAAACCTAGAACATATATTTTCCTAAGCACAAATCCATGATCTCTAGTTTGAAGTAATATATAAGTATGAGACATTCCTTCAAGTATGTTACTTAGTATAAGTAAGATAATTACTCCAAAACTAAGTATCTTACTTTTACTTAGTATCTTACAAACATTAGTTTGACATAACTAGTTTGACTCACTGGCCTTTGTTCCAACAATTTCAGCTGATCTCACGGAGTCGACACAATTTATTTATACCGACCTCATGATATAAAAAAAAATGTTGAACAGAAGGAAAAAGCTCTGTGTTTCATGCTCTAATAGAAGCACAATATGCAACATGATCTTACAAAACCTAACTTCAAGATCTGTGTATTTTAAAGATGACATCATTGAACATGTTTCTTACTTTGTAGGAATGGTATTAAGTTTTAAAACCTTATCTTTTTAACTTTGTAATCTCAGTAGCCACCATATGTGTATGTTAACACCTTCAAACTTAGGGTTGTCTTTTCAGAACTATATGCCATTGAATGTGATATATGTCACAGAAATTCAAACCCAATTAACAGCATTGAAGGAAACCTGAAACATCTTGCTTCATATGACTTTTAGAGTCAGATTTAACTGAAACAGTCATTCCTCTCTTAAAGGTCTAAACTTGAATGTTGTTCAAAAAGTTCCCTGTCATTTTGTTTTGGCTCTGTGATCACTGCTTTGTAAATGTTATGTGTTTTCTGATGAAACACAATTAGTAGGTAAAGCTCCTTTGTGTTTACAATAACCATTAACGCTCTCTGCCTAACAGAGTCTTGCCAAATTTCCACTGCTGAATGTTGTTAATCTTGATGTTCCACTTAATATTGTAACTGTTCAAAAAGAAGTCCTAATCTCACTATGTAAAATAAAATGCGTGTGAAATGACTTGTCTTTTTAGATGCAATTTAGTGTGTGGTATATTTATTTGAATGTATTTTTTTAATTTGTTGTTTTGAAGAATGTCGACTTGCAGTTGCCTCTGCTCCAACTGACCAGGGCTTTCAATGGACAGAGCAGACACACACAAGAACACCGAAGCCCTGGATTAGAGGTAGTTATTAGTTATATTAAAGATAACAAAAGGCTATCATCATTAATCAGATTGCAGATGATATTTTATTACAGCATGGACATGTGGCAGTATGCTAACACACGTATATATGTATGTGCATATCACTGTTCAAGTGAGTTGTTGCATTTAGTCCTGGTACTAAAGGTGAGTGGAAGTGTTCCAACTGGACAGTTTTCAGTTTAGCTGTAAAAATGTGTTGAAGCACAACTTTCCCAACTGGGAGCTCCTGAGCAGTATGAATCATTACTGGCAGTGGTTACTGGCGTGTGTTTACACACAAACACACACACGCACACAACATGGTAAACACTTCCTCTTATAACAATACTGCTGAAATTGAGGTAGAAGTTTGACACATATGAAGCACCCTGTGGTCATAAAAGAAAGAGAAGAAGAGTGCAAAATATTTGTCAGATTATGTTCCCCAAAATCCAAAATGAATTTGAGGCAAAATGTAAGAAGGCAATCAAAAATAAGTAAGTGAAGATATTGTACCCAGTGTGTTAAGTCTTTAAATATCTTTCTCTATGGCTGCCAAGCTGCTAATTGACACAGAAAGTAGACTGGCCCAACCCAGTTCCAGCAGGTAGAGGGTCAGATGTCCATACAAATGGTATAAGAGGAGGACTGTGTCTGGATTTTAAATGGTCAGATATTTGGGGTTTCTTAGCATTTAAATGCTCAAGTAAACCTGCAACAAAGAGTTAGAGATGAACTGTTTGCTGCTGATTCTTATCAGCTTCTAATTCCAACCCATAATAGAGAAAGATATGAACGTAATTTAAAAACTATCTTTATTGAAAAAGACAATTATGGAGTGTAACATCTTGAATAAGCATTAGTGTAGTCGGCGAAGTATGCATTCCTAAAATAGCTGTTTCAAGCAAATGAATAAAAAAATCAAAGGAATAAAACAGACAAACTTTGCTGTTTTATAATGTTCAGCCATTGTATTGTTTACTGGAAGCATTGCCATTTCTCACAGCCTGAATCAAATGCTTTTATATAGCTTCCTACATCTGTCATCCCTTTGATTTAATTTTTAAACACCTCATTGAGTATAAAAAAATTGCTAAGTGTTTTATGACAAAGTAACTTTCACTCTGAAGAGGGTTGTCGTCAGTGCAATGCAATTATGGTTACTTTGTTAGTGATCAGGAAAAAAAGTTCTTTTTGAGTTTAAAGGTTGGGCATAGCAAACAGAAAAACATTTCAACAAATTCCTGAGTGCATTTTTAAAAATTATACAAAAGAAACTACATATAAACATATTTTCACATCTTAGGTCTAACAATGTTATTGTAGGCATAAAACTTGGTTCAACACTTAATTTATTCAAATTTGAATTAATTTATACTGTAGTTTAAAACACATGGTGGAAAAAAGCACCAGAAACCAGCATTTTAGTTGAAGTAGGGGGGATGGTATTAAAAGTGTGTTGTTTCTTCCAATCTATGTCAACTATAAAATAGTCAGGAGGGTCTGCAGAATTTAGAACCAATAGAAAGAAAAGAATATTAAAACTGTCTTCTCCAAACAAACAAAAAAATAAAAATAATTAAATAAACAAGAAGGAAGAAGATAACTTAAATAAACAAATTAAATTAAAGCTGCGAGCAACCTCGAACGGCCCCCGCAGCTCAGCACTGCTTCCAACTCATTTAAAATATTCTATGGGTGCTGTAGAGAAATTAGGCCACGCCCACCAAATATTGTTGTGTATTCCTGTTGGGGGGTGGCATCTTACTTTTTTTATCCAAGTAAGATGCCACAATTTCATCACACATAGCACAAAAAAAATGAAATTTCAGTTTCAAAATAAAATCTTTGTATAGTTAAATACAGACGCAATTAAAAAATATCTGATAAATAGAAACCATTTTATTCACAGCAAAGTAGTGTTTAATGCATTGTCTGATTTTCTTAAGCTATGACTTTGGATGTGAGATCCTGATAAACAACAATTTTTACAGCCCACTTCTCTCTATGTCATTTTAGATGGCATTGCAACAGTAACAGTGGTGCTTTATTTACTTTATTTATTTACTGCTATAATACTGAGCTATTTTCTGTGAAAAGGCATGAAAGAAAAGGGAAATGAAAAAGAGAGAAAAATTCAGATGCTTATTCAACTGTTTCCATTTCACAGAATACTCCTTAAAATAGTTTATTTTAAGCAGTTATTAATTCCAAACCCCAACTTGAAATACACTTCCCAATAAGTTCCTTAAAACCTTTTTTATTTTTTGTTCTTTACACATTTGACTCAACAAAGGGTCTTTTTGGTTTGACAGGAGAGGTGGGTACAATCCTTTCTACTGGCCTGTCAGAGCAGTTTTGGATAACCGGCAGTGTTTGGGCAACTTTCACATCAAGACAGGAAGGCTTCTGACTTGAAACTTGCCCTGAATCTTCATTCCATTGGCTGTTACCAGGGACAACCTCACACAGGTCCATTTGGACCTGTGTGAGGTGGAGGTGGCTGTTTTCAGCGTTGTTGTTGGTACAATTACAGTAGTATAATGGCACTTCTGGAGCCAAGCCTCTCTGGTTGGTAGGGCTTTTGCTAGGTGACATGACAATTGTGTCGACTGAAGAAACGGCCCAGGAGCGAGAGAGGCTGAGGCAGGATGCTGAACTAGAAGGAACCTGTTGCTGGTACTGCTGGTGCACCCGTACCGATTTGTCTGTTATGCCCATAAAAGGTGTGTTCCTGGAAGAGTGTCCTGCCTCTCCAGGATATGTCCCTCCCTCAGTTATGCAGATCTCTGACTGCAGAGAGGAATTAAGAAAAGGATCATCATGACAACCATAAGCGTCTCCCATAGATTCTGAAGGCAGATCCATGTGCTGGGCGGAGGCTGAGGTCCTGAGACCTTGACCTTCATTAGTTAGCAGCCCACTTGCGATGTTAGAAGAAAAGTGCACATTCACACTCTGGGAGTGTATAACAGATCTGGGAGGGGGAGTGAAGGTGGATGTTTGGTGGACATTAATTGGGACATGAAGTCCACCCTGAAGTTGATAGTGAAAGTCTTGCAGTGACTGATTGCCAATAGTTGCCTCTGTAACTTCCATTGGGTAGTAAGCTGCTTTAGACTGGTTGCGGCTGGACTGTCGAGACTGGCTAAAAACATTTACTGCCATTCGGCCCGCTGCTGTTCCTCTGCCATGCACAGGAGTTGCTTGCATCTGGCAAACAGGTGAAACACCCACATTGTCCAAAACTTGAGACACTCTGGAACCAACACCACCACGGACAAGAGGGCCATGTCTGACATCAAACGGTCTAGGGTGAAAGCCTTCCCATAACTCTGCTAACTCTTCAGGAAGATGAGTTAACTCGGAGCAGGCAGGACTCCGTAAAACCAAAAAAGAGTGGTCTGAGCAGCTTGGCTGATTGCTTAGGACGACCTCAGCCTTGGTATTCTGGAGCCACTGGCTTTTGGAAGGGCTGCATTTAAGCTTGGATTTCAGATCGGAACTAAGGTCGTTGTGCTGCCTGCCCTGATTATGAGGGCTAATCACTGAGACAGTTTGAAGGTGGTGTTGTCCTCCACTTTCAAACATTGAACTAGCTCTTTGTGGATGCAGCAGGGGTGATGAAGGAGCACTAACTTGAGGATGGCTGGAGGAAGCGGGAGGAAGCAAAGAATGACAGGGGGAGGGGAGGTCTGCTAAATGAGTGGAACAAGAGGGGGACTGATGCATGTGAGTTGGAGAGAGAGAAGATGGTGATTTCAGTCCAGTGTAGCAATGGGTGTCAAGACTGTGAACTGTGTGAGGAGGAAGAAAAGACGTAAAGTCTTCATTTTCCCTGAAATCCCCATCTTTTTCTTTCTCCACATCCTCGTCTTCCCTGTTAAAGCTTTCCATGGTCTGCACACAAAGACAGTTGAAATCCCTACAGCTGGCTTCATTAGTGAACATCGCCATCTGGTGTTGATAAGCAGAGGGAGGGTCTTGTTGTTGTGAAACTTGCCGACACTCTTCTTTCACCCGTGACAGAAGGCGCTGGATCTCCCTGTTGGATGGACATAGACGGCTGGCGTCAATCAGGTCCTCCAACGCAGCACGGAACTGTCTGAAGGGACACCAACAACAAAACGGAGCATTTTAAAGAACATCAAAGAAACAGAGAAAATGGAACTTCTAACTTTGTTGAACTCGTTCATACAATTTCTTCTACAAAAAAGTAACTTCACACTGTGATTTCTAATCTCTTTAGCTGTTATCCTCTTTTGTCTTGCCTCTCCATGGAGGGGCAATAATTGACCTGAGTATAAATCTCCAAAGAAAGTTGTTTCAGGTGTGCTAGAGACCAGGGATGCTCCAAACAGGATGTCTGCTGCTGATTCCAATATCAATCACCAGTCGGTGCCAATCACCAATACTGACCACATGGATTCGCTGCTTTGTTTTGTCATATAGGTATAAATGCTACTGGCTAAGTAATCTAGCAAAATGGAACCATAAAATCAAGTAATTAAAGACTTTCACTATTTAGTAATTTAGACAACATGCAATCAGCAATACAATAGGCAGTAACATCCCATACTATACATAAAGTCAAATAAATCTCACAAAAAAAAGTCAAGCAAAAATGCTGACTTCCGTCAACTGCTCTTGCTGATGAACTGCTGCTATTGGAATATAATCGCAAACATAGAGCCGTTCAGGCTCCACCAGACAGCCGACTCTCACATAGAAGGTCCGGTTAAAGCTGCAAGGTGTAACTTAAGAAAAGAAGTTTCTAGGTATTACAACTTTCACTATGTCCTAACATGAGGCAGAATCTGTGAAAAAAAAAATCTAGTTGATTTGCCGCCTCCTTGTTGTCTTGTCAAATGCAGGTTGTATTCAATTAAACAATCTTAAGTTACTAAATCAAAATTGACTGAGAGGATGTGCAAACTGTTGTGCAATGTCAAAAGTGACTGACAGTGCTAAGACCCGTATTCCTCAAGACAACAAGGAGGCAGCAAATCAACTAGATTTTTTTTTCACAGATTCTGCCTCATGTTAGGACATAGTGAAAGTTGTAATACCTAGAAACTTCTTTTCTTAAGTTACACCTTGCAGCTTTAACCGGACCTTCTATGTGAGAGTCGGCTGTCTGGTGGAGCCTGAACGGCTCTATGTTTGCGATTATATTCCAATAGCAGCAGTTCATCAGCAAGAGCAGTTGACGGAAGTCAGCATCTTCCACCTCTGGTCATTTAACTCAATGACATGCTTCTCCCCCAAGGTCATTTTCTATCACAAGACACAAACTTCCCCATTCACTCTCAGAGGATTAAAGTTACACATTGCTTCAGATTTGCTGCTGTGCATTTGCCCTCTTGTGCAAAGAGGGCAATATGTTGACCCTGTGGTCTCTGCAGACTGCAAAGTGTGAGACATGATTGATCAGTTTTTGTGATCGGCAACTACAACTAGTGATCGGGGAACTCCAGTCATGTACACATTTTCACGAAAATTGACTGATTATGATCAGTGACTGATCGATCACACACCACTAGTAGAAATCTCTGTCAAAATGTCTTACAATTGTTCAAACAAATGCAAAGGGACTTGAAGGAGTTGAGAAAGTAAAATATGAATTAAAGTCATCCATCAATCCATCCACCTATATACCACCTTCCTCGTGTCCAAGATTGGGTCAAAATCACTGACAATTTGACACTGAGCATTTGAGTATGTGCAGCTCATTCTGGCATTTCCAGGCCAGACGTGGTCTCCTCCCACTGGGACTTGCTCAGAAAACCTTTAAAGGGAGGCGCCCAGGAGCCATCGTGATCATCCAAACATTTGTACATAACCATACACCCTCAACTGTGTCCTCTTAATGCACCAGCTTTCCTTTGAACTTCCCCTGAATGAGGGAGCACCCTACCGTTTCTCTAAGTCTGAGTCCAGCCACCCCCAGAGGCAGTTCATTTTGGTCAATTGTATCAAGGATCCCATCTTTTAAATTGAAGTTACAAATTAAGAACTGAAATATTAATGTAGAACTACGTTTTACAGATTTTGAAGTCAGGATAATTGGTAACATTTATTAATATCCTTGAAAGTACAGTGGCACAAACTAAAATTTCTGCAGCACAAAAGTTTGATACCAATTCTGTTTGATTTGAAGAAGGTGAGACGTCCAAATTCACTCGAGTAAAAAAACCTGAGGTCAGAAAATGTCAACCAGCCTTCCCACATGTACAAAATCAAAACTTGGTGTCAATCAAACTCTGCCATGTTTGTGATGATACAAATCTTTGTGTTGTTTTTGTTTTGAAGATATTAAGAAAATTTTCAAGGTCAAAAGGTCTACCAGTTCCCCCACCTTCTTCAACTACAACAAAATTGGTGCCAAATGTTTGCGCCACAAGGGCTTTGTAATTTAGCAAGTTTCCTGAAGTCATGAAAGGTGAACCAACCCCCACATTGTTCTTCAAGTCAAACAAATTAGTGTCAGCACGTTTGTGCTGATAAAATTGTCCACTTGTGCTGTTTAGAAGACATCACTGACCAAACAGCATTCCAACATTAACTGAAAATCAGTGTTTTCTGTCGGAGTCCATTGCACACTGGATGTCTGAACACTATATTTTAAGCATGATAGTTTTATTCAGAGATCACAAACAAATGAAAGAAAATACACTGAATATTTTCATGCTCTCTATTCCACTAACTTGACAAATAGCCCCAGGTCAAGAGACCTGCTTTGCCAATTGAATTTTATGTAAACAGCAATTTCTGAATCAAACTGATTAACTTTTGTGATGGAATAGATACCTGCGGTTTCGTTTAGCCCTGGCTCGGGCATAAAAGGCCTCATAGGAGTTGGATTTCAGCTCTAGAGCCTTTGTAGCAAATTCCTCAGCAGCGTTGAAGTCCTATACAAAAAGCACACAAATAATACACAAAGATTAGAAGTTCCACTCAAAAAATACTAGAATTATTTTATTATTAGAGGCCTTTATTTGACAGTAATCTGACAGGAAGGTGCAAGTGGAAGGAAGAAAGACATGCTGCAAAAGAACAGTCTCGTAGCAGGGCTGCAGCCGCTGCAGGGAGACCGGGGTAAACTGAGCCAAAGGTTTGACTTAAGAAACAACCTTTAGAGCCACCTTTTGTTTCAGCATTTCAAAGAAATTTTGTGAAGAAAGAAAAATTGTTGATATGGCATGACATGTTATAGACAGGAGGAAGGCATAATTTAATGAAGCTTGTGAATGTAAGAAACAGATGGCTAAAGTGGTTAGACTTTTATTTCTTAAACAATTTTTCACTCTTGAAAGTGAATTTAGTCTATTACAAGTTTCATAAGAAATGTGTTTAGATCACAATAGGTATTTTTAAAATTTGTTTGATATGAATTGTACATATGTATGAGCTACAACATAAGGTCATAAACCAAAGAAAAGTGTAACATTTTGGATGCAGACCCAAACAAAGTTGAAATAGTAGTTTTGGTAGAACCATTTGACCAGAGATAATTTGAGCCACTGGCTCAGCTATGATTCTCAAACAAGCATTCAGTTCTGCTGCTTCTCATGGCTCTATGCACATCGCACCATTGCATTACCTACCATGAGACAACATTTTTTGAAAACGCTGTGTTATCATAACAGTTATGTTTAAACATATGCAGATATATCAGCTGGAGACCAAACTGAGGTTGTCTTGATATAGCGATTCTAAATAAGAAAAAAATGGCTCATCTTACCTGGGTGTCCGATACACACGGAGCCCACTCTAATCACTGCATCACCCAAAGCCCATGGAGATGAGCTAAAGCCATTAGTTCAATTTAATAGATACAGTTTAGGATAAGAATTTGGGAACATTCTTTTTCATTTTGGTAAAAGTTTTGTTCTTGAGGAATAACTAAACCCCAAATCAACTCTCTTTTTTTGCACATAAACTGTATAAATTAACAACCTTGACATTTTTGTGTAAATTTGTTTCATTCTGCAATATTTAGCCTAAAATGTCTTAGAGCTGCCCTACTTTGCTTGAACGGTGGCTACTGCAGTCAGATTTTCCTATTGGTTACAAGGCTGTAGCTTGGTTGATGTCTCTGTCACAGCTCCGACACACGTCTCAGTGCCAAGCATTGCACATGTGACTCATGTTGCATCAAGACAGAACCTTAAAGTGCATCTTTCACTTTAAACATGCTGAAACCTTTGTATGAAGTTATTTCTCAGTGGTCCATTCCATCACCTCAATGGGGAGACGAAAAACACTCCAGGCTGCTCACGATCAACAAATGGCTGATTAAAAGCTGCTCTACCAGCTCAGTGACCTTCATCGATAACCTCTGGATCTATTGGCAGTGCTTTCACCTTTTTGGAAGAGGAGGACGCAATCTTAATAAACATGGGATAAAGCTACTCACTGCAAACCTTTTTTATTTTATCAACAAGGACAGAAACAGAATCATCGCGTCAGAAGAACAGGCTCAAGGATGTCTGACTAGGATGGAACGCTCCCCGGATCAGGAGCACGATATTCCAAAACAAGCTGATAAATCGACTGGAGATGGAGCGACTGCTTCCCTCGCTCCTTCCTCTCTGCTCCTCCAAACATTCACAGGATTCAATGGATACTAATGAAGAAATGTCTTCCGGACCAGAGTTTCTTAAATTTACAGATGGAATGAATCAACAGCTTCACCTCGGTTCGTCTCTCCTTAGCACTCACAAAGCAGACCTCACTACATTTAAGCAACCTGCCCCTGACTTTCCAGAGGATCCATCACTCTGCGTTTCTGAGGTCTGAGGCCGGGGACCAGATATCATCTTTACACCTGTCTCCATCCAGAATGTGTCTGGCCCCCGGGTACTGCAGAACAGGACATTACCTGTCCGAGTCACGATAAGAAAATTGACAAAAAACAGAAATATGAAATACAGCGGTCCTAATTCAAACCTCAGACTGATCCTCAGACTGATCCTCAGACTGATCCTCAGACTGATCCTCAGACTGCCTAAAGGAACATCAGACTGAAAAACTTTTGGCCTCCAAGCCACTTAAAGTAGCTCTTTTAAATATCAGATCACTCTGTGCTAAAGCTCTGTTAATTAATGATTTCATCACCGAGTAATAATATTGATGTTTCTGACAGAAAAATGGTTGAATGACAATAATGACCAAATTGTACTAATTGAAACAGCGCCTTCTAACTACAATTTTTTAAGTGAGAATAGAAAACATAAAAAAGGAGGAGGCGTGGCTTCTATATTTAAGAAAACCATAAATTGTAGTACAATCTCTTTGGGTCATTTCACCTCTTTTGAGTATCTTGGAATTCAGGTTAAAGGCTACAAACAAACTTTGACACCAACTTTATACAAAACTCCAACATACGTGGAAAGTTTCTTTACTGATTGTGATTGTTTACTAATTGTTGGTAATTTCAATGTTCATGTGGATAAACCCCAAAACAGAGGGGCAAAAAAGCTTTTAATATTTTAGAAAATTTTGGTTTAACACAACATGTCAAACAAGCAACACACACTGGACCTGGTTATCAGTAAGGGTGTGAATATTTCCAATGTCTCTGTAACTGATGTCGCACTGTCTGATCACTGCTGTTATCTATGAAAGTTATTTATTCTTTGACCAACTTGGACAAACAGCTACTGTCACAAAACGTTCTTTCACAGAAAACAGCAGAAACATTTAATCAAATCTACTCTTCCTCCTCACCCTTAAACTGTAATGATGTAGATAAGTTGGTAGATGATTTTCAGTCTAAAGTTTTATATATCATTGATTCCATTGCCCCAATTAAAGTAAAGGTTGTGTCTAGTGGGAAGAAATCTCCATGGAGAAAAGCACAAACAGTTCGATCTGCAAGACAACTCTGCCGCAGGGCAGAACGAAAATGGCGTAAAACTCAACTTCACGTTCATCACGACATCTACAAAGAAAAACTACGTAACTATCACTTAACACAAACATGGAAGGGAGGCTTTCTTTGCCGATGTCATAACCAAAAACATCAATCATGCTCGAACTTTATTTGCAACAGTTGACAGGCTCACAAACCCTCCTGTGACGTTTCCACCTGAATTTCAATCTAATGTTGCCTGTAATACGTTTTCTGATTTCTTTTCAGAGAAAATCCAAAAAATCAGAGGATTAATCTGCACATCAACTTCAAAGCCAGAACCATTGCTGTACCAAAACAAAACAAATACAGAAAAAATGACCCATTTTCAACTACTTAATTATAAAACCTTAGAAGAAATTATAAGTCAATTAAGTTCAAGCTCCTGCTGTCTGGATGTCCTACCCACACATTTCTTTAAGAAAGTCCTGCCTGTTATTGCTACTGATCTGATCCAAATAGTAACTCATCGATTACATCAGGTGTTTTCCCCCAGACTTTGAAAACAGCAGTCATCAAACCACTGTTAAAAAAGAACAACCTGGACAAATCACTACTGCAGAATTACAGGCCAATCTCAAACCTCCCATTCATCAGCAAAGTTATTGAAAAAACTGTGTGTAAACAATTAAATAGTTTCCTCATGATGACCAACTGCTTTGACACTTTCCAGTCTGGTTTTCGTGCTCACCACAGCACGGAGACTGGCCTAGTCAAAGTATTCAATGATATCCATATAAATACGGACTGTAGCAGAACCACGGTGCTGGTTCTGTTGGACCTCAGTGCAGCTTTTGACACTGTTCACCATGACATTTTACTGAATCGACTTGAAAGTTGGGTTGGACTCTCTGGTTCGGTGCTCGACTGGTTTGAATCCTACCTAAAGAACAGGGATTTCTTTGTTTCAATTGGAAACTTCTCATCAAAGAGGTCAAAGGTCACATGTGGGGTACCCCCAGGTTCAATCCTAGGACCCCTCTTATTTAATATTTATATTCTCCCACTAGCTCAGGTTATAACAGGAAATAATATTAGCTACCACAACTATGCGGATGACACACAGCTCTACATTACGATGTCACCAGGTGACCTTTGACCCCATCCAATCACTGAATAAATGCTTAGAACAGATAAATGTGTGGATGTGCCAAAACATTCTCCAACTGAACAAAAATAAAACTGAAGTCATTATTTTTGGACCTAAAGAGGAACGATCTAGAGTCAATGCACAGCTTCAGTTATTACAACTAAAACCTAGCGATCAGGCCCGAAACCTGGGAGTAGTGATGGACTCGGACTTGAACCTCCAGAGCCACATAAAGACAGTAACAAAATCGGCCTTCTATCACCTGAAGAACATCTCCAGGATTAGAGCACTAATGTCTCAGCCAGATCTAGAGGAACTCATCCATGCATTTATCTTTAGTCGCATTGATTATTGCAACAGCGTCTTCACAGGCCTGTCCAACAAATCAATCCTCCAGCTGCAGCTGATCCAGAAGCTGCTGCTCCTGTTCTCACTAAAACCAGGAAGATAGAGACATAACAGCAGTTTTAAAGTCCCTCCACTGGCTCCCTGTAGCTCAAAGAATAGATTTTAAAATACTGTTAGTTTATAAATCACTGAACGGTTTAGCACCACAATACATTAAAGATCTGCTGTTGTTGTATCAACCTTCCAGACTCTCAGGTCTTCTGGTTCTGGTCTGCTCTGCATCCCCAGAACCAGAACCAAAAGAGGAGAAGCAGCTTTCAGCATCTATGGACCAAAAATTTGGAACAAACTTCCAGAAAACTGTAAAACAGCGGAAACCCTGACTTCCTTTAAATCTCAAGTAAAAACGCACCTGTTTAGAGTTGCATTTGAAATGTAACATGTATGGATTTGATTTTGTGGATATGTATGTAATTTTTTTTTTTTTTTTTTTTCCTGTTGTGGGCAACGGGGCCCGGCGAATACCCGTGGTTAAACGGACGGCGGGGTCCGGCGGTTACAGGCGCTTAAATTCCGTGTCAAAGGGAAGGGGGAAGAAAGGGAAAAGAGAGGGAAGAAAAGAAAAAAAAAATAATAAAAAAACTTGGTATTTTATTCTATGTTGCATGACTTTGTGTTTTGTGTTTATGATGTAAAGCACTTTGAAATGCCTTGTAGCTGAAATGTGCTATACAAATAAAATTTGATTGATTGATTGATTGATTGATATCGTAACAGGATTTAAATTCACATTTTCAGTGCAAAAATGGCCAATATTTCAAAATAAAAGGTACTAGTACTGCCTCTACCTAGCTTGCTTACTGCTCCACCTGAGAATAACTCCCATGTCACTGCTATACATGAATACAGCCCAAGCTCAATGGAGCATAATTCTGTACAAATAAAATTTCTTTGAACCAATATATTCTATTATTGAGACTTTCTTTTTAGTTCTCAGAATTTTGGGGCTTTTTCTCATAATGTATTATTCAGGTGTCTGTGTGATCACTTTGGACCAATGGACAGCAATAGTTGTGACCATTGGTGAGTGAGTGTGTGTTGTCTTGAACTCATGTTCTAGAATTCATGTTCAGCCTAACCATATGTTATGTACCTCGGGCACATTATAATTATTATTTTTCTTAAATAGTTTTGTATTGACTTTAGTTGAATGATTTTGTGTTTAATATATTTTAGCGTATTGATAATTCCTTTTTGTAATTAATTTGGCTTTGTTAAGTTGTGGTTCTTGGACAGCCTATAAATAGGCTGGATTGTGACAGTTTTGGAAGCCGCCCACTCACCCTGCCGTCTTTCCACTCGCCCTGCCGTCTTTCCTCTCGCCCTGCCGTCTTTTCTCTCGCCCTGCCGTCTTTTCTCTCGCCCTGCCGTCTTTCCTCTCGCCCTGCCGTCTTTTCTCTCGCCCTGCCGTCTTTTCTCTCGCCCTGCCGTCTTTTCTCTCGCCCTGCCGTCTTTTCTCTTGCCCTGCCGTCTTTTCTCTCACCCAACCGTCTTTTCTCTCGCCCTGCCACTCTTCCGCTCGCTCCACAACCGCCACCAAGAATGGGTCCTGACGAGGCGCGCACGTTTCCAGTGGCTGTAGGACGCCATGTAAGCCTGCCATGGGGTATTTTTGTTAGTCTTTGGGTTTTATTTCGTTTTATGATCATTTTGGCCTGGTGAGACCGGTTGTCCTGTTATCGATTCTTTTGTTTCAGTAGATTATTCTCCTTTATAGTCCGGTTCAAGTAGGGCCTTCGACGGCCCTGTATCAGGTTGGCCCCCTACTGTACCTTTTTGTTCTTTTCACCGGCTCACCAGGTCCACCTTTCTGTTGATACTTTTGGAATGTTTTTTTTTTGGGACACAGGGAAATGAGGATATTTAATTCTTTTTTTTTTTTCTTCACAGGAAATTGAAGCAGAAAAAAAAGATCAGGAGAGTTTAAAAATAAAACGATATTCTTTGAATCCTTCTTGTGTCCTCAAATATGTTGTGCCCTTTTGGACGTAACACCATACAAGCTTCTCAATTTTCAATCAGCCGTCTGGTGAGAGCTGCTGTTGGATAATGTTCTACGGCAAGTTTATAACAGTTAAGGAATGGCCCCATACATTTAAAAATAACATTTCTTATTTTTAAAACTGTACAGTGATGTAGATAATTAAACAGAAATAAATGCATAAAAACATGGTCTAATTCCACACTGTATGGAAATAATGTAATGTGATCATTTAATGTGCCTCACTTAGTGAATTCAAAAAAATTTACTTTTAAAAAATATTTTAATTTACTTAAAATGACCATGGATGAAAATAAAGTAAAATAAAATAAAAACACACACATGCACACAACAACCCAGGAGATGGAGACTCACATTCATTTTACGGCGGCAGCGGGACAAGTTGAGCAGCACACACACTCTGAGCTTTTTGAAGGTTTTTAGCTCGTCTCTGGGGAACTTGTGGAGGGCTGACTGGTAGGACTGTGCAGCTTCTTTCACCTTTCCTTGCTGTGAATATACATACATGAATTACTGCAAACATTAGTAGCAGTGCATGTTATTAGCCTGGACATTAGTGGTAGTATTCACCTTGTACAATCTGTCTCCTTCTTGGATCATTTTACTGAGTAACACCATTAAAATGTCTGGCTTGGAAGTGGCCATGGCCCAGGTTGCTGGTCCTAAGCACACATAGACATGAAGAAATATAAATATATTTAAACACTTAGTTTGATGAAGATGGAAAAAAAGAATTTGGCTTGCTGTAGAATGAACTGGCAAAACAGATATTTTTAGCACCTTGCAAAGCAAAGCCCTTCAATCGTTTCCCATTACTGTCATGATGTGTCGATGGTTGGGTAACACTTTATTTGAAGGGGTGTCCATAATACTGACCTGACACTGTCATGAAGATAACACCTGTTAAAAAAGTGTTTATGAATGTTTGACTGTTGTCATGAAGTGTCACTCGGTTAGTAATGACACTTTTAATGCATTAAAAGTTAAAATTGCACCTATATCAAAATACGCATCAGCAGGTTTACAGAAGTTGAGATGAAACATTTTGTCACCTTCCCAATATTTCAGTGGATGCAAACTGTCTAATATTTTCTTCCTAAAATGACTTGGTTGAGCTTGGCCAACCTGGTTAGCATTTTGGGCTGTTGGCAGAGCTAAATAATACCTCAGTACAGATGAGGTTTCTGGACACGACACTTATCCTTTTAAAACAATAGAAATTAAAACACAGTATCCACTGTGTAGGGTTTTTTTCACATTATAGGTGATGGTTTATTACAGTGTGAAACTATTTTGAGAGATCAAAACACTGCCAGACAAGGGAAAATTCACTCGATCGGAAAAAAGATGTTCCAATGAATTGCAAACACACATGCAATAAAATCCTAAAACAAGAAAACGTGATTGTGAAACAGCAACACTTTGCTCCACAAGCAAACTGACAAACTTGTTCCAGCATCAGTCATGTGGTATGGCCCACTTGCGAGGCTTCAAACGTCACAGCCTGCCCCGATATCTGCTTTGTAAGGCACAGAAGACACATCACTACTGATAAATAAAATGTAGAGAGAGAAAGAAAGTGGCACAGAAGAGTGAAGGAGAGAACACCAGGGAACAACAACTAATTCTAAAACTAAAGAATAACTGAGACTAAACTGATGGTGGCAAACTACCGGACAGTAGCCACAACTGCCCTCTGGAAGTCTGACAGAAGAAAGGATGCCATTCACCGGAGCCAGCGGGTCCTCAGGTGAAGTGTTTTGCCCAGTGACAGAGGCAAGTGGAGCGGGGATCAAACCCACAACCCAACAACTGCAGGTTGAGCTCCTACCACCGTCAACATCGGTTTATTGATAGCAGCGAAACATTCTGAGTCATGTTCCTACCAATCTTAGCTCCCTTTTTGAGAAGAGTAATAACTGCTGAAGTGTTCCTGCAGCCAACTGCTCGGTCCAGAGGGCGCATCCCACTGCAGTCCATGTGCTCCACCAACGCTCCATGATCCACTAGATACTGGACCTGCAGCAGCACAGACATGTAAGTAAACACCAACTTTACTTAGAAAATGAATACACTCTGACCATATGAAGTCACATCTGTATCTGTTTTAGCTAACCACTTCAGGGTCTCCACAAAAGGCAGCCAGGTCCAGAGGTGTTCGACTGCTGCGATCAGCATGGTCAGTGGCTGCTCCTCGCTCCACCAGCTCCCTGACCAATGTGAACTGGCCTTTGAGGGATGCCCAGCTCAGAGCAGTCAAGCCTTCCCTATCGATCTGGTTGAGAGAGGCCCCTAATTTGAAGACAGATGACAATCACATTACTGATTTTACTGTGTCAAACAGTAAGCTTAGAAGTTGATTCTTATGGTGAAAAGTTACTCACCCTCCATGTGCAAGTACACAGTGCCATGCCAAAGTATTCATACCCTTTGAGCTTTTTGTATACATTTATAATACAATGACAAATACTGACTTGTTTTCGTCACATTGTCTGGGTCTTTAATGGTTTTGTTGGGGGTTTTATTTTCTAGTCTTCCAGTGTTTTGTTATTTGTGAGCTCGCCTCAGGTCCCCGACACCTGGCACTGCTGTGGGGATCAGATGGGTCCTGCCTGCATCAGACTGTCCTCAGCCTGCTCCCAGACTCCCTGTGAGATTTCTGAGATTCCTGTCAGAGGTTGTGATGTTCACTGTTTTGCTCTTATCTTATTTTCCATTCTTGGTTAGTCATCAAAAAGCAGTAGAAGTAGAAAAACAGGAAGTACAACACAGTTGCAGCCACGTGGCAGCTCCTCAGCCCTGCAAAGCCCTGTTGTTTTCTTACCTGCTAATGCATCATCTGTGAATATTAAAAGTTGAGTTAACCACATATAATAGTGACTGAAGACATTCATTTATGGAGAAATTACTTATCATTGTGTTTGTAGTAAACTCAGCCCGTTACAAAGCTAAGACCACTACTAGTCTGTGTGCAACAGTGTGTGCAGTGACTTTGACGTTGTTTTTGCATCAGTGATACTTGTAGGTATTTCTTTGTTTATCCTGATATAGTTTCACAGAAAAATGTCAGTAAAGTCCACAAGATATCACATCTTGTGGATATCATCAATGATATCGTCAAATGCAGAAATGTGAAGTTTCTGCATTTATTCTGTTTAGCTGTTTGGATAGCTAGTGTTATTTTGCAGGCAAACCCTATACATTGGTTCTCTCTGTTAATGTTCCTGTTTCTGAGGTCCCTGTCTTCAGAGTGCCACAATGAGGATGGAATGACAGGCGGCTACTCCTAAATGTCTGTATGGAATCCCCACCTCTCTGGTTGCACTGTAGGCTTTTGACACAGGGTAAAGTTCATATTCATATGGAAGCAGTATACTTTCTGACACTTACATTTATTATCCCATGGCACAGGAATTAACCATTGTATGCTTGAGGTCATGACACACAATAATCTATGTGAATTTGGAGACATTTGGAGACAAAGTTACATTGTGAGAACCTTACATTTCAGCCATTTGAGATATTTCAACCATCAATCAGAAATGCTGTCAATACTGTGAGATCCCCGGGTCTCAGGATGCTTCTGACACAGGGGACGGATGTAAATATATAATGTGTCATGACTAATCAAAATTGGCATTTTGGACACTTATAAATGTTTGATTTTTTATATCAGAAGAAATTCAAACATACAAGAAACAGCAATGAATTGTATTACCTAAATCTCACATGAAAATAAATAATGAAAAAAGTTGTTTTTTATTTTTCTCATTTTTGATTCTACATTGACTATCAATATGCTGTAAATTTGAATCTCACATGAAAATGAATAATGAAATAAGTATCCATCCGTCCATTATTTTACATGCTTATCCCTAAAGGGGCAAGGTCATCCTGAACATGTCACCATTGCAGATGAAATAAGTAATTTTTAAATTTTCGATTCTACTTCAAAAACACAATTGAATGAAAGGTACATGGACCCGCTCACTGTATGTTTCGAGTCATTGTCAGGCTGGGAAGTGAAACTCTGCCTGAGTCATGCTTTTTGCAATCTGTAACATGTTTTCTTCCTGGACCTTTTGTTCCTGCCCATCTTGCTTTTAACCCCGACCCTGCTGTTGATAAGGATCCCCATCACATTATGATGCAACAACCACGTGTCACTGTGATTTTTTTTCTTACCAGAATATTGAGTATACAACTAATAGTTTTCATGTCAACACGTCCACCCGCCAGGAATGTCTCTGCAGCTCTTACCATTGCCTCAATTTGCTGCTTCTTCAACTTACCCTACCCAGCCTGTAAATTTCGGTGGACAGCCATGTCTTAGTACACCAACAGTGCTATCTTCTTTCTATGCTCAGTTGAAGGTTTGAGTAAAACTTTGTTCAAAGTTTGGAATACAATTTATGACCCAAACACTACCTAACTAAACTATCTGGTAGGTTAGATAGGTGTCTTTATGGTTCTCTAATGTTCCCCAACAACCCACTGAGGTCGTCATAGAACAAATTGATTAATAGTCAGATTAAATTAGATGGTTTTTAAGGCAACTGGTTGGACTATATTGAGGAGTATCAGAGTAAAAACCAATGAAAAAATTAAAAAAGCATATTTGAGAGTTTTATTTGAAATAGAATAATTATGAAAACATTGACAAAATGTAATAAAGCTCAAGGGCATGGATACTTTTGCAAAGGCACAATACGCCAAACTTGGACTCAGAAGCCTTGTGAGGTGAATGTTACCGTGATCCAACAGAAGCTGGGCAGAGGTAATGTGTCCTTCTGAGGCTGCTGTCATCAGAGCAGTTCGACCTTGCTGGTCCACACTGTTCACCTCGACCCCGTAGTTCAGCAACAGCTCCACCACCTGATGGAGAAACAATGGAAGAGGCAGAGATTTGGTCTCTGCAGGATTAAGTCCAACTGTCACCTGGTAAATGGGTTTTACCCGTGTGTGTCCCCGTCTCACGGCACTGAAGAGTGGAGTGATGCCATGCCTGTTGCTTTGCTCAGCAGCAGCTCCCTGATCCAGCAGGAGTCTACACACAGCAAGCTTTCCATGTCCTGCAGCAGCTGTCAGAGCTGATACACACACCAACTAGTCAATCAGCAGTCCAATCATTTTCAACAACACTAAATAACAATGATAAAATACTTGGCCTCAACCAGTCTATTTGGGCATGAAAGACCACAAAATGCACTTCGGTAACACATATCTGTTCATCCAATTCATAGCTACTCTTCTTGTTGTACATAAAAGAATCAGTTTGCTTCAAGACATTTAGACAAGTGGTGACTGCAGGGTCTGTAATTAATCAATGGAAAGTAATTGCATTTTAATTTAAAGCCATATTCTGAAAAAATATAGATTTTCAACTCAAAAACTACTTTGGTGCAAAATTATTGAATAAATAAAAATATGAGCTTAACAACAAAGATATTGTTTTAATCTATTTATGTTATCCATCATCAGATTGGTGCAAAGTGCAATTATATCCATTCAGCTTTCACATTTTTCAAGAACCCCAGGTCTGAACCCCAGGAACTGAGCTTCTTTGAAAAAAAAATCCTTTAGAAATGTGGACTGTGGATGCTGACATTAGCATGGATGGATGTCTGTGCTGCTGCAACATGCTTAGCACTGAGATGCTATTTTAGACCTGAAAAGCTTCAATGAAAGGCTAACTCCATGCACAACTTGTCCACAACAATAGTTTTTTCCAGTATCCCATCAAATCGTCTTTTGACGCATATTTTTTTAATCTAGAAACCAAGCTGGAAACCTAATATTTTCTTTCCTTTCACTTCTCAGTTATCCACTACTTAGTTTTGGACTATTGCATAATTTTTATAAAATTCATTGAAATGTGTTATTGTACTGTATTAAAATGCGATTCAATAACACATTTAATGCATAAAATTTTTGTCCAGAGGTTCTTCAGAACCTGTGTTTTGCTTAAATTGATGACATTTATTATGAATCATACCCGTCTCCCCCCACAGACAGTCAGATATGTTAATCTCAGGTCTCTGCTCCTCTTCCTCATCTTCTTCTGGAAGATCCAGGAGGTATGACACCATCTTCATGAAACACATCATATTATTATGTTACACATCATAGATTTACATACCATTATTGATGATAAGAGCATGTACAAATGTCACATGCTCTTAGCCTGAGTTTCTCACTTCCACATGCCCCATGATGGATGCTGCAATCAGAGCCTGCTGCACAGCCTGGCTCCTGCTCGTCTCCCTCTGGCTACAACACGAAGTGCAGCTCCAATCAGGGCTCTTCAGCAGGAAGCGCAGCACCTCAATGTGACCGTGCTGGGCTGCCAGAACAAGCACACTCCGACCTGAGCTGTCCATGTGGCCAATCTAAGTGTTTAGGAAGGCAGAGACCATATTCAGAGCAGTATTATGTTTGGTTCTGTTTTACAAAATAGTTTTCTGTCGAATTTTTTTCTTCTGCTTATTTTTTATTCAATAAGAAATTTAGCTACCTTGGCTTTGTGGTGGCTCAGCAAGGTGACAATTTCCAAGTGACCAGCTGCAGCAGCAAATCCCAGAGCTGTTAAACCATCATGTGACTGAGCATCCACCTAAAAATAAAATGCACAGGCCTCCTGTTTGGTTAAAGTCTTTTAGTTCATTACCATAATCTCAGGTAGACATAACCAAAAAAACAAAAAAAAATCACTTGGGCTCTGTGGTCGAGCAGCAGTGCTACGGCATCCTTGTGGCCAAGGTGAGCATAGACACACAATAAGGGGGCACCATTAAGGACTTCAGTTCGGTAATCCACATTGGCTCCTCCCATTATCAGGAGCCTGGTCACCTGAATGGACACAGAGAAAAAAGTGTTCATGCACCATCACCACAAGCACAAAGAAGTTGCTGTGGGTGTTTTATGCTACCTTGATATTGGGGGTATAGAGGTTGCGCAGTGACGAAAGAACGGGGCAAAGTCTTCCTGTGCTGTATGACATCCACAGGGCCTGAAGAATGGAGGAGGAAACCCCAAGTTTTTTACTCAAGCCCTGGAAGAGAGTGACACACACATACATATATAATCATGTACATATATACACTATAGTCACCCCACTGTTGCCAGCGAGGCGTCAGTCATGCTATAGTTAGCAGTATTGCATACAAAAAAAATTGGTATCGGCCAAAAGCAGAATTGGCAGGTCAGACTTTTTAAAGATCGGTAATCGGCCGGAGAATTGCAATAGGTGCACCCCTAAAGGTAAGACTTCGGTTGTTTTTTTCCCCAACAATTGTTTGCATGATGTTTTCTTTATAGCTTTGTCATTTTTGTTTTTATTATGTAAAGCACCTGGAACTACCTTGCTGCTGGAATGTGTTATACAAAAAAACTTTGATTTGGTAAGCAATGAAAATTCAGATTTGTTGTAGAATGTTAAATGGTAAATGGACTGAACTTATATGGTCTGCCAGTACCATATGCTGCGTGTTTGAGATCAGCCTGCAGTGGTAACTGTTATGAACTGTCATTTTGAAACGTTAAGGGTGTTAAAGTTAGCCTACTTTAAAAGTCTTCCCCACAACAATCCAGAAAATAGCCCACATATAAAGGTCAATATCCTTCACATAGATTTACATAAAAGAATTGAATACCTAGGTTTTGGAATATTGTTGTATTATGACAAGTTACCAGAAGCTTTCAGAATCTTAAGATGATGTTTTAGTGTCTGCATAGAATCTACTATAAATGTTTCATTACTCAGCAAAAATCAACCGCCATTCTCAGTGTCTAGTCTTAGTTAACATACTTTATCTGAAAGTAGTAGTAACTCGAGTAGTAGTAGAAACTGGGTTCCGGTAAAGGAAAATGAGGTAAAGGAACAAAAATTGAGCCATAATCAGTTTCTAAAGAGTAATTATCAGGTTTAGGTGAAAGGATTAAATAAAAAGATTTATTTCTGAGTCAAGGCGGACCTTGTAGATGTGAGCCTTCAGAATATGATGTCCCAGCTGCAGCGTCTGCTGTCTGCTCAGTTTTCCTTCTCGTCTGCAGAACCAGAACGCCAGCAGGGTGTGTCCACTTCTAGAAGCAGAGAGACACATGGATCAGAGAAAACATCAAAACATCCCAGAACCTAAAAAGCAATATCATGACACTGACTTTTGTCATAGTTCAGTGCTAATCTGATTGTTGTGCGATTACAATGGTGCATAGCTGACCATTTAACATTATGAAAGCATATGGTCTGCCAGTACCACACGCTGTCAGGCACCACACGTTATGATGTTCTCGTCTGCAAACTTCACTTTGGACAAATGAGACAATGAGATTGAAAGACTTCAGCTTTGGCTTCATTTCATTAGACTGTGAAGTCTTTCAATATTCTCCCATGATATAATTTGTTCGCCAAATTTTATACAAGAAAGTTGACATGGTTCAGTGTGCTTTTTCTTTAACAGTGGAGTATTGGCTTGTGAGTGCACTTTGAGGCCATTTTGGTCATTTTCAAGTGTGAATTTTCTTTTGACTCAACTGTAATGTGCTTAATATTCTTTTCCTGTGTAATTTCAAGTTTTTACCCATAATCCCATTTGAACAACCTTGCTTTGTTTCTTTCTATAAGTGGATTGCTTGGGTTGTTCATCTGGTGTGAATTTTGTTTCTCATACGAAAATGTTACCAGTCATTTTACCAGCTACATGTAAGGCAAATAACTGAAATATTTAGTAAGTTCAATTAAATATTTTGTGCATGCACACTTAAACTTTATAAGTCTTTGGGTCCAGCTGCATCTTAGGTTACCTTGGGTCACAGAGGAACTTGTCATCCTGTCCCTCCTCCCTCCACACTAGCCACTCCCTGAAGGAGGCATGGTTAAGCATCCTGCTGCCGTCACTCCGCTGTAGCAGGAAAGAAGAGAGCTGATCTAGGCGATGTATAAACTCCCCCCACTGGAATGTTTCTCCACTGAGGCAACCTGCATTCACCACCTCAAACAACTTGGGAAACAGTGAATTCAGAAGTTAGATTACCTCTGCAGTAGACTAAAGTGGCACCAATGTTTGGTTTTTAACGTACTTTAAAAACTGGTACATACCTGCTGATCGGTCAGTGGGTAGAGTGAAGCCACAGTAACATTGAGCAGAGGGAGTACTCTTTGAAAAGACAACTGGGTGGGAAACCGCATGTTAAGCTGTAGCAGGTACACTTCTGCTAGGTTGACCGGAACCACCTGCAAGCAAACACAATTGATTATCTACTTCACACAGTTTGGCATTCTCACATCTTTCTTTGCAAATGTAGTTTATTCATTTGTTCCCATTCTGTGACAATAACTCTATCATCACCTTAAAGCTAGAACTCTTCAGAACAAGGTAACCTCCTTCAATTAGATCAAGGGTCAGTTTCAGGTAGAGGTAAGAGCCTTTGCTTAGGCTCTTCAAGTGGCTGATCATCTTGGTCAGTGCTGTGCTGTCAAGGCGACCATTGCCCAGCGACACATTGCTCTGGATCTCAGGGCTGCTGTGGATACGCTGCATCAAGTAATCCTGAATCACAAAAAATCCAGATGCATACAGTAATTACAAAAAAGTATTATCTTACAGTATCTTTACAGACTTCTTCTGTTCTTGATTTTCATACTTCAGAGTTATACATCATCATAATATTAATGACTCGAAAATGTAGTTTTCTATTTCTTTATTCAGGAAAACAGACATCCAAATCAACCGACAGTATGTGCATAAGTAATTGCCCCCAAACACACCAAGGCTGTGCCACCCCTTAAGGCAACAACAGCTGTGATGCATTTGATAACTGGCAGTAAGTTGAGTAGGAAGACTGAAGACCAAACAATGGCAGACCTACCAATGGATCAGATTGCTGTCTCACCTCCATTCACTTATGAAGAGTTGACATAAGTGAAAGAAGGGGAGAGGTTATGACCAGGTTAGGACCCTAAGTGGAACCTCCATCCAGGGTTGGTGAACACCAGGGGGCTATGCAAATGGTAAAAGCAGGGCTATCAAATTGGCTAAAACCAGAATTGGCAGGTCAGACTATTTAAAGATCAGTAATTGGCCGGAGAATTGCAATCAGTGCAGATCAATCCTCTGATTTTTTGAATTTTCTCTGAAAAAAAACTGGAAAACTTGTTACAGGCAACATTAGATTGAGTTCAGGTGGTAACATCATAAGAGGGTTTGTGAGCCTGTCAACTGTTGCAAATAAAGCTCCAGCATTGTTCATGTTTGTGTTTATGACATCTGCAAAGAAAGCCTCCCTTGCATGTTTTAGTGTTGAGTGATAGTTACGTAGTCTTTCTTTATAGATGTCATGATGAACGTGAAGTTGAGTTTTACGCCATTTTCGTTCTGCCCTGCGGCAGAGTTGTCTTGCAGATCGAACTGTTTGTGCTTTTCTCCATGGAGATTTCTTCCCACTAGACACAACCTTTACTTTAATTGGGCAATGGAATCAATGATATATAAAACTTTAGACTGAAAATCATCTACCAACTTATCTACATCATTACAGCTTAAGGGTGAGGAGGAAGAGTAGATTTGATTAAATGTTTCTGCTGTTTTCTGTGAAAGAACGTTTTGTGACAGTAGCTGTTTGTCCAAGTTGGTCAAAGAATAAATAACTTTCATAGATAACAGCAGTGATCAGACAGTGCGACATCAGTTACAGAGACATTGGAAATATTCACACCTTACTGATAACCAGGTCCAGTGTGTGTTGCTTGTTTGACATGTTGTGTTAAACCAAAATTTTCTAAAATATTAAAAGCTTTTTTGCCCCTCTGTTTTGGGGTTTATCCACATGAACATTGAAATTACCAACAATTAGTAAACAATCACAATCAGTAAAGAAACTTTCCACGTATGTTGGAGTTTTGTATAAAGTTGGTGTCAAAGTTTGTTTGTAGCCTTTAACCTGATTCCAAGATACTCAAAAGAGGTGAAATGACCCAAAGAGATTGTACTACAATTTATGGTTTTCTTAAATATAGAAGCCACGCCTCCTCCTTTTTTATGTTTTCTATTCTCACTTAAAAAATTGTAGTTAGGAGGTGCTGTTTCAATTAGTACAATTTGGTCATTATTGTCATTCAACCATTTTTCTGTCAGAAACATCAATATTATTACTCGGTGATGAAATCATTGATTAATTTTACCACAGAGTGATCTGGTATTTAAAAGAGCTACTTTAAGTGAATTGGAGGCAAAAAGTTTTTCAGTCTGATGTTCCTTTAGGCAGTCTCAGGATCAGTCTGAGGATCAGTCTGAGGATCAGTCTGAGGATCAGTCTGAGGTTTGAATTAGGACCGCTGTATTTCATATTTCTGTTTTTTGTCAATTTTCTTATCGTGACTCGGACAGGTAATGTCCTGTTCTGCAGTACCCGGGGGCCAGACACATTCTGGATGGAGACAGGTGTAAAGATAATATCTGGTCCCCGGCCTCAGACCTCAGAAACGCAGAGTGATGGATCCTCTGGAAAGTCAGGGGCAGGTTGCTTAAATGTAGTGAGGTCTGCTTTGTGAGTGCTAAGGAGAGACGAACCGAGGTGAAGCTGTTGATTCATTCCATCTGTAAATTTAAGAAACTCTGGTCCGGAAGACATTTCTTCATTGATATCTGTTGAATTCTGTGAATGACTGAAGGAGCAGAGAGGGAGGGAGTCAATTTATCAGCTTGTTTTGGAATATCGTGCTCCTGATACGGGGAGCGTTCCATCCTAGTCAGAAATCCTTGAGCCTGTTCTTCTAGAGCGGTAATCCCATTTTGATAAAATAAAAAGGTTTGCAGCGAGTAGCTTTATCCCATGTTTATTAAGATTGCGTCCTCCTCTTCCAAAAGGTATAGTAGGTTTTAATCAGCCATTTGTTTATCGTGAGCAGCCTGGAGTGTTTTTTGTCTCCCCATCGAAGTGATTGGACTACTGAGAAATAACTTCATTTTTAATTTTCCCATAGTGTTCAGAAGAATATTAAAGTCCTTTTCCAGAATCTCAGACTTTTGCTTTGCCAGATCGTTGGCTCCAACATGGTCAACTAAAGTCTCGATATCTGGCTGATCAGTGGTTACAGAGAGCAGTTTGTTGGTTAAATCACCAGTGTCACCAGGAAAATATTGTACATTCCTGGGATTGCAAACAACACTGATTCCCTTTACTGCCTCATCTCCAACAATAATCACTTTTGGGATACCTTTTGTTTTTCTGGTGGTCGCTTTGTCCTTTGGAGCTTTGGGGATGGATGTGTTGGTCTTGCCTCACTGTTGATGTTTGAAGGCAAAGTTTCACTCAGAGGCTCAGGCTGGAGTGCAAAAAATCTGTTTTTCAGTGGGATTCCCACAGAGTCAGAATGTTTTGAGGCTCTTGCTGGTTGCTTTGTCCCTGGGAGCGGGGTCAGCGGGGTCAGCGGGGTCGGTGGAGGCGTTTTGGTTGCAGCTGCTTGTTTGTCTTTCTTTGGCGGAGCAGGTGTTGAAGTTGAAGGTGGGTTTCGGCTCAGAGCCGGCCACTCTGATTTGTCCAGGTGTGGGGTTCCCTGATAGTCGTCTCATCGGATCAGCAGTGCAAGATTCCCGTTTCGGCTTGGCACCCAGAGTGTTCCAGGGTGAGCTGCTCGGTGCAGGGCGCACGACCTCTCCGCTGATTTGAGGAAGAGTTGTTTCATTTCCACAGGCAGCGTTGATCTCAAAGTTCACCTCCAGTAGTTTAATCTTCATGTCTATAGACTGAAGTCGTTGTAAAACTGCTCATGTCCTTGGGGTCAGCCGGAGGCATTTTGCCCTGGTTTAACTTGGAGGTAAAGAAAAGTAAGGTGAAAATAAAAGTAAGAAAATCCCCCAGTCCTTAGGTTTGGAAAAATCCAGTTAAGATGTCAATAATGTAAATATAACTATAAAAACTGTCGCCTTAAAATTAAAAATAATTCACAGGCAGAGTTATCAGTAAGGACGAGAGAGAGAGCAGGATAAGCTGTTCCTCCTTCGGCAGTCAACACAACAGAGAAAAGCAGAAATGCGATCCTTAGGCCAACAAAACAGATCCCTTCAACACCTCGGCTGCACCTAGAAATTCTGTCCATAAAAGCAATGAACAGAATCGGTGACAAAGAGCAACAAAGACCAACTGTAATGTAAAAAGTTATAATGTACCCCTATCTGCCCTCAGCATCAGAGAATAACCTCCTTTACTCAACAATAGACAAATGGCCAGACCATCTGTATTGGGCTCCACAGAATTGTTGGTACATGACAATCATGGATTCACACCCATTGTCCAATCAAGTCTCTCTTCTCTGACCAGAACCTATCAAAGGAAGCCAGATTCACTGTTGGTCAGAGCAGACTTGACAAACTCCTTTGACTCTTTAGTCCTGTTCTCACCTTGCAAGGTTTAAATACATTTCTTATTTCTTCTCAGCCAAACTCTTGTTAAAGTAATTTTTACCATGACACAACTCTCACTGGAAACGAGCCCAACTTACTGCTGGCAATGCTGGACAGACTCTGACACCGGTCATACAGAGACCTAACAGCCCATATCAAAAGGCTCACTACCCTATACTCCCAGAAAACCTCCCACAGGGCTCCCCGAGGGACACAGTCAAACTCCTTCTCCAGGACCACAAAACACATGTAGACCGGTTGGGAAACGCCTTGCACAGGACCCTGCTGAGGGTGAAGAGCTGGTCCGGTGTTCCACAACCAGGGCGAGAACCACACTGTCCTTCCATAGATTTAATAATTGTGATTAATCAATAACAGACCATATAATTCCCTCAATAAAAAGTTGTAATGGAGTCAGACCACTAGTTAATGATTTATTCTACAGCCCTATTTAGGCAAGGATGTGGCGATCAAAATTAAACTATAATTATTTCTTAACAATGGGAGCAAATATAAAACCCAGTGAATTTGATGAACTTTTTAAACTTGGTGGTGGGGAAGGACATCTAATCTTCCATATTTATAATGTGTTATTATCCAGATCCTCACCGTCCATGCAGGGCCACAAAACAGGCTGGGAGCAGGAATTAGGAAAGGAGATAAACGACGCACTCCGGAAGGCTGCGCTAGAGAATATTCACAAGTGTTCTGCCAACTCTAGACACTGTCTTATTCAATTTCAAATTATTCACAGGCTTCATGACTGTAAGGCGAGGTTACATAAAATTTTCCCTACCACTTCCCCACTGTGTGACAAATGCCATATTGAAGAAGCCACACTTCTCCATTCTTACTCCTTGTGTACTAAATTAACCCCATTTTGGTCTGGCATATTTAAAACTTTGTCAGATATGTTTCATACAGAGTTAAGGATGGAGCCACTTCTGATTGTACTCGGAGTTTCTGCTCAATTGTCACACTTTAATAAATACCAACGACAACTTTTGTCTTATGCCTTCATCATAGGAAAAAAGCTAGTGCTGATGTTTTGGAAAAAATCTGTGGCTCCATCAGTCAAATTGTGGCTGGAGGAACTGGTAAGGCTCTCTCATCTGAAAAGAATACGGTTTTCACTAACAAATAACTTAAAGCGATTCAATAAAGCTTGGCAACCCCTTCGACAATATATTGATAACTCCACTTGAAAAGAATTTGATTTGACTCTCGGTGTGCTAAGATGTAAGTCCTAGGGAATGGGGAGGTGGGTGGGTTTTGAAATGTCCTTGATTATGTTTCCTTTGTTTTGACTTTGTATTGCCTTTCTGTTTTATGCTCACATCAAAAAGAGGATGGATTTGTATTGTTTGTTCCAATCTTTATGTCTGATTCCTCAATAAAACTATTTGACAACAATGGGAGCAAATATTTTTTGTGCAGATTTTGTCCCTCAATATATGAAGTCTAAATTTGGAAACTGCATTTGGATTTACTCAAGTAATCTTTGTCTGATATCAAAAACTGTGAAATGATCAAAAACAAATCAATGTCACCAAAAAATGAAAAAACAGAGGCAATCCATAACGGGGGAAATTTCTTTTCACTTCAAAATATGAACAAATCAAAGTGAAACAACCTGAAAAGGAGGTGTTCAGGTTACCTCCAGGTCCTGGTCTATAGCGTTGTTTTCCTCCTTTCCGTCCAGTGAGATGTGGTGAAACGGCAGACATTGCGCAATGTCCTGAGTAATTAAAAATAGTTTTAAAAAATGTTAATTCAGTATTTTATTTGCAATAAAATGTGAGGTTTTAACACAAGACTCTAGGCAGGCAGTACATTTTGCTTCTGATTCTATTTAAAACAAGATATTTAAGATTACTGAGCTTCTGTACATTATAAGGCAGATGTTTTAACTCAAACAAGAATAAATTTAGAATAGAATAGAATAGAATAGAATAGAATAGCATTTATTGTCATTGAACAGGATTCAACGAAATTTCTATTGCAACTCCCGTGCAAAAAGTCAAAAAATACAATATTAAATAAACAAATACACAATAATAATAATATATACAACTAAAATTAACTAAAGGCACTCAACCACACCAAAAAGAAGCAGCAGGTCCAATTATGGTAAAGTGCAGATGATGTGACAGTGCAAGTGCAGAACAATATGGCTGTGTGGGGGTTGGGGTGTGGGGGGGGTGTATGTGAGGTTATGATATGTGTGGGAGGGGGCGGCAGGGAGTAATGGCTCTGACGGCTGTGGGGAAGAAACTGTTTCTCAGTCTGTTTGTTGTAGTCCGTATATTCCTGTACCGCTTGCCTGATGGCAGCGGCACAAACAGTCTGTGGCCCGGGTGGCTGGAATCCATGGCTATGGATCCAGCTCTCTTCTTGACCCGGCCTATGTAAAGAGTCCAGGTCTGGGAGGGGGTATCCCACAATGCCTTGTGCTGTTCTCACCACCTGTGTCAGTTGTTTCCTCTCCAGTGCTGTGCAGCCACCATACCACACAGTCACGTTGAGGCAGAGGACGCTCTCGATCGTCGCCCTGTAAAAGTTCACGAGCAGCCGTGAGGAAAGTCCAGCCCGTCTCAGTTTCCTGAGGAAGAAGAGCCTTTGTTGTGCTTTCTTCACCAGGTGGGAGGTGTTGGTATTCCAGGAGAGGTCAGACGTGATGTGGAGGCCCAGGAACTTGATGTTGTCCACACGCTCCACCTCTTCTCCATCTATGAGAAGGGGAGTGTGACCCGTCCTCCTGGACCTTCTGTAGTCCACAATGACCTCCTTGGTCTTCCCTGTGTTCAGCACCAAGTTATTGGCTGAACACCACTGAGTGAGCTGCTGAATTTCCTCTCTGTAGTGGGTCTCGTTGTTGTCTGAAATGAGACCCACTACTGTTGTGTCGTCCGCGAACTTGACGACTGTGTTGGTGGGGTGGATGGCAACGCAGTCGTGTGTAAACAGGGTGAAGAGAGCTGGGCTGAGCACACAGCCCTGCGGTGTGCCTGTGTTGAGGACCAGTGGGGACGATGTTGAGCCACCTATTCTCACCACCTGAGGCCTGTTGGTGAGGAAGTCTCTGATCCAGTGGCACAGTGAAGCAGGCAGCCCCACCTTGAGTAGCTTCAGCACCAGCTTGTCTGGGATGACGGTGTTAAATGCTGAGCTGAAGTCTACAAATAGCATCCTGACGTAAGTGTTGGGATGCTGCAGATGGGTCGGGCTGTGTGCAGAGTGATGGAGACAGCATCCTCTGTTGACCGGTTCGCTCTGTAGGCGAACTGAAGGCTGTCCAGGTCTGCAGGGATGAAGTGTCTGATGTACCTCAGAAGAATCCTCTCAAGCACTTCATGATCACCGGGGTCAGAGCGACGGGCCGGTAATCGTTCAGGCTGGTGATGGTCGTCTTCTTCGGTACAGGGATGATGGTGGAAGACTTGAGACACTCAGGAACCATGGTGAACTGCAGGGACAGATTGAAAATGTCCAGAAACACTCCTGCCAGCTGGTCGGCGCACGTTTTCAGCGTCTGGCCTGACACCTTGTCCGGTCCTGTAGCTTTGTGGGTGTTGATCCTCCTCAGGGTGGACGTCACCTGGTGCTGCTGCAGGACGAGAGGCTGGTACTGCTCTTCCAGTCGGGGTAGATGTACAGCTTCTCTGCTGCCCACTGTGTCAAAGCGGGCAAAGAAGCTGTTTAAGGTGTCAGGCAGGGTGGGGTCGCGGCTGGTCAGCTGAGTGCTGTGTTTGTAGTCCGTCATGGTCCTGATGCCTCTCCACATGCTTCGGGGGTTGTTGTTGATGAAGTGTTCCTCAATCCGCTGTTTGTACTGGAGCTTGGCCTACTTAATTCCTTTTTTCAGTTCCGACCGGGCCCTGCTGTAAGCCAACCTGTCTCCAGATCTGTAGGCAGCATCCCGGGCTTTCAGCAGGGCCCGTACTGTGCTGTCCAGCCATGGTTTCTGGTTTGGAAACACTTTTATGGTCTTAACCGGGAGGACAGCATCGGTGCAGAACTGAATATAGGACAGAACGGACGATGAGTATTCCTCCAAGTCTGCTGAACACACTCCAGTCTGTGTGCTCAAAGCAGTCCTGAAGTGCAGAGGAGGCCTCCTCAGTCCAGACCTGAACTATTCTGGTGGTCGGCTTAGTTCTGCAGGCCAGAGGCTTGTAGACAGGAATCAGCTCCACTGAGATGTGGTCAGACATGCCCAGATGTGGACCTGCTACAGCCTTGTAGGCTCCGGGGGTATTGCAGTAAACCTGATCCAAAATGTTATTGTCTCTGGTGGGAAAGTTTATGAACTTGTGGAATTTGGGAAACACAGCCTTCAGTTCCACGTGGTTAAAGTCCCCCGCCACAATCATGGCCGCCTCCGGGTTGATTGTTTAATTAAACATCTGCATTTATTTTAATCATAGCACTTCAAAAATGACAAAGGAATGAAGGAAAAAGCAGATAACTATTCCTACTAAAAAAATGTAAGCACAAAAATTATTTAAGATGACTGCAAAAAGTTAAAATAGATAAAATACAATTAATCAAATGCACATTTTGTTCTTTATCTGGTATTTGTGGTTAATTACCGCTAATTAACCACAAATAGCAAATTCCCTTTTAATTACTTCAGAATTAGCAGGGAAACTGAAAGACAGAATCTCTGAGAACACAAACAGAAAAGCTCATGGATCACCGTTTATGCACTTAAGGTGATTCATGCATCCATTTTCTTTACACCCTTGTCCCTAGTGCGGTCAGGAGATGCTGGTGCCTCTCCAGCTAATGTTGCAGGCGAGACACAGAGTTCACCCTGGACAGGTCGCCACTCTGTCGCAGGGCAATACAGAGACAGGCAGACAAACGACCATGCACACACACACTCACACCTAAGGAGAATTTAGAGAGACCAATTAACCTGACAGTCATGTTTCCACAGAAACCGGAGAACCCGGAGAGAACCCAAGCATGCACAGGGAGAACATGCAAACCCTGTGCAGAAAGACCCCGGGCCGGGAACTTGCGTCACTGTGCAGGTAAATTAAAAATAAAATGGTTCCCCTAAACCTCAAGAAGACCAGTTAGCTGACATGCAGAGCACTAGAGTGATAACAGCAAGAACTTTTTATTCATTATGATTGCAATTGAGGAACTTTTTGATTTGAACTTTAAAAAAAGATTCAAATGGAGCTTCAGCTATTGTACAGCATGGTTTTACAAAAGAGCGTATGCACTTTCAGAAACTTCATAGCTTGAAGAATGTATTAAATAGATCCTATTTGAATTATATTTGTACAGTACTTTTTAGTGAGCATGCATACCTGCTCGCTGGTCCTGACAGTAGAAATGACCTTCAACCATGAAGGAAATTTTTGAATGTTTCGAGAGAGAAAGGAAGTCAGTGTATCTCCGTAATCGGGCCGGTGGAACTCAGCCTCGTTTAGTCCATCAATCAGTACAATGAGTCCATCCACATCAATCTCAAGCTTTCTCTCTGAAAGGTAAAAAATAACAAATGATGGCAGCTTACCCCCATGCGGAAGAACTGCAAACCCCAACAAACAGTGTTATTATGGCAGAGGTAGTTAAACTCAATGCTTTGCCCTATACATTTTTTGAGTCTCTTTTGCCTTTATCAGGTAACACTGAGGAAAACGCAGCACACACTGCAGCCAGAGAGCTGGATCCATTCATTTCCATGCCACTTCTGATCAATTTCTCAGTAAAACAACTCATAATCATGTCAAGGTTGTAACTTTCAGTTTAATCGGCTGCTAACAAAATTGTAAAATAAATAAATAAATAATCAAGGTGTGTGTGTATAAGTTGTATCCTTGCTGGTAAAGTAATTTGTTCCTATGTTATAGAGGGGGAACAGATTATTTCAGGCTGAAATATATGGTACCCCCCTTATGACTTTAGCAAATAATGACCCTATAATAACCCTAACCCTAACTCCTTGAGTTGGTTTAACAGTTCAGACTGGTTCAGTCTAACATGTCTGAACCATTAATATCTGGTTCAGACTTTTCATGCGTTGTATAATGTACCTTTGTGGAGTGCATCCAGGGGGTCTAGTATTCCTTTCTGAAGGGCTAAGCTTGGATCCTGAATGCAGGAGCGCAGACTCAGGATGCTCTGCAAATGAGGCGAATGCTGCAACAGTTTTTGATAGGCGGTCAGTTGAGGGGCAGTGATCAGCATGGCTGCCATGTTGTGGACGAACTCAGGAACAAGGCAGGTGTAACAGTTATCAGCTTGACAGAAGTGATAGGACACTACCTGCAAAACAGATCAGCAAACACAAGTTTGACTGTCTTTTCTTGTCCCTTGCTAAAGAAATGCAACAGAACAACCCAAGACAGATTTTATTGTCATCCAATTGTATACTTAAAATGCACATATTGACCGACATGTACTGGTGGGCTCAGTACACATTGAAATCATTGTGTAAATCATTCTAATTCACTCTGCTTAATCTGTTTCACATTTTCTTAACTTACAGTCACAAACTTTAGTATTTACTATATTGTCAAATGTATTCTTTTATTTGGTTTCACACATGAACTTTAGCTTCAAATATCATCTATGCTGTTGGAACTGCAGTTATCTCCAGCTGAGATAAGCTACAGTTGGATAAGCTTGCTAGGAAGGCCAGTTCTGTGCCAGGATGCCTCCTTCCCAGAGAAAGTGATGGAAGACAGCAGGAGTGGCTAAGACAACATCACTGTTGGACAGTGTCTCCCACCCTATGTATGAAGTTATTGCTGAACTGGAGAACTCCTTCGGTGACAATCTACAACAAGACCATCTGCCCCCAAGAAGATCACATGTAGTCGCACTGTGAACACATCAAAGTATGTGACATGTTCACAGTCAAGGCCAATTATTTTATCAGCTTATCTAAATAAGAGCACATCATGAGCCTCTCCTGTTTTGATGTGGGAGCTGCTCGGCTACTGACGGCTCGTTCTCAAACTATGGCTCTTTATAGGTGATGAGTTAAACTTAGCAAGAGGGTGAGTGGCTGGTTGTGCACGTCCAAAGTTTTTGGTCCAGATTGCTCACAACACCTTTCACTCAGAATGGATGGTTTTGAACCAATGTTTTACGTCAAACAGGAAGCTGGACGTCTTAGATTGAAATTTCAATTTTGATCCAATTTTTGGCCATTTACAGCCATTATATTTGATTGAACTCCTTCTCATGACTTTGATCACTCATGCTTAAGTGGGCGTGGCCTGACCTCAAGGTTCAACCATAAAATACATCTTGCCATAAATCTTGCCATAAAATACAAAAATATCGTACACAATAACTCACTGAGACACCAAACCTTCAGGGATTGAAGAGATCAATGGTCAAATCCTGATATCATTGAAGCCATGCCCCCGGAAATAGAAAGGTCAGTGTTTTACTTTGAAAGGTCCACATCTGACTCAGTCACCTAATCAACATGGCATTGTGCCCATTGACAGGAGGTTGGTGAAACATGTTTGTGTGTGTACTATTGAATTCTAGTATCATGCCATTCTCAGTGTACATTGCTTCACAGAATGTTTGCCAACCTGCTGCAGTCATAGAAGGTTAAAGTGAGCTTTGAAAGCTTTGCACAATATGCATGAGTGTATTTATGAAATTGTAGTATTTTTTCTGAAGTGCATTTGTGAGGTGCACTGATATTGGACAAGAAAACTTGGTTCGTGGTCTCCACTCAAAGCCAATTGTCATAGTCGCTAACTTGTTCCGAGACTAATTAGTAAAAAGAATCTCAGTAGCAATATAACTGTTCTTTGAGGCCATAATATCTAAAATGAGAGTCTGGACATAAATTCTGAAAAACAATGAAGAGGCCTAGAGGAACTGCAAAGAACCACAGCGCAGGTGGAAGAATGTGTTGACAGGAAAACGCTATGTAATGCATTCAGGAAAATCACCCGGAAACACCATTGTCACTGTGAAACATGAAGCTTGAAGGGACAGAGAAGCTGGTTGAAACTGATGGGAAGAAAGATAGTGTTAAATATAGGGTAATAGAACATGAACATTTTGCAGAGAAATGTTTTATTTGCTAGGATATGCAATGTAGCCCTTCTTTGTATATTAGAACCTTTAGATTGAAATAGCACAAAGATTCAAGTGCTGTGAGTATGTATAACGTTTTACTTTGTTGCAGGGGTTAAAGTAGAAAACCAATAGTGAAACAGTTACTACTTTACAAAAGTAAATGAGTAACTTCAAGTACAGTTTGACACAGAACTGGAAATGCAACCTGTCCAGCTAGTCTCCACAATGCCTCCTGTTGTTTTCTCTTCTTCTCTGGAGTTCCTGGACTTCCTCCTCCTCCTCCTCCTCCTCCTCCTCTTCCTCTTTCTCTTCCTCGTCCTCCTCCTTCAGAAGAGATAGTTGAGAGAGAAACCGATTCTCCATCTGTAATGTCAATAAAAATGTTGGATTAAATTTCGTCTCTGGTTTATGGCTCTTCATATCTGATGGATTTTATAGACACTCCATTCATACTGACAAAGCCTTAGTTATTTTTCAAAGTAAGAACATATTTTCAGACTCTAGGTAGGTAAAACTGGTACAGACATACACTAAAATAGTTATAAATCTATTTGAACCAAAAAGATGATTCTAAAATCAACTCCTGCAGACTGAGTAAAAATGCAGGTCACATCTTGTTCAAAAACATGCATAATTTTTTCTACAACCTCACAGTTACACAGTATTTTCTGTTATTCTATGATTTATGCCTCAAAAGACAAGATGCTGAATGTCAGAAGCAGCAATGAGATGGTCATGTCATTACAGTGATACTATAGTCATAAGACAAAAACTGAATATGACAGTGGTCCCTTCATAATTGTAAAATAGTGTGGTCAAAGGTCTTCAAGGTGAACAAACAAACAGCATCAGTCACCGGTTTCAAATTCTTCTGATGACTTTTACTCTGTACATTTGCCTCAGACATCCATCCTGAGCTTCTAAGAACTCAGTGTTTTTATAGCCAATTGGCGACACACATGCAGCTGAGTGGACCAAGCCACAATTAAACAAGCTAAAAAAAAATCTCAACAGAAAAACAAGAACATTATTAATCTAATTTGAAAACTCATCTACACAATGAAATGGTCTGAAAAATAAGCCATGTAGTCGAAGATAATTCAAAAAGTTACTTCAAAGAAAAAACAAAGTGATCCTTCAAAGAAAACCCTCTAATTGGTTGAACCCAGCAAGATAATTAATGATGTCATCAAGCAGGAAACACTGGGCTGGCCCCTCCCTTACTCCTGCTCTGCTGCAGAGCGACAAGGGATAAACAATGGTGAGTAAAAAAGAAACCAAATACCATGAATATACTGTGAAACAAAATAAACAAAACAAAAAAAAGTAATCATTTTAACCTAAATATATAAATAGATGTAAACTGCAACATAATGCTAACACAAACAAACCCGGGATAGTAAGTGAAGCAAAGTTGCAAAGTAATGTTTAAATTTAAGCATTATGATCAGCTACAGAAAGTAAATGAATCAGAAATAAGAATAAGGGACAAGTGGTGAACACAAACTGAACCACCTTGTCACAATAATCAGTAATTAATCTTGAAGTTACACATTATATTCATGATGTGCACACGAAGTGTGAAAAGATTTAGTAACATCATTGTAAGTGGACGTATTGTAGATGTCCCTGCTGTGCACATGAGTAATTGCTGGACATAATTCCTACTCTTCCATTTGGGTGCTTAAATTCATTGTGGTCAGTTTGTTTCAGACCAAACTTTAAAGCAATTTTATAAAATTTTAAATAAATTGACAACAGAAGATCAAAAGCCAAGGAGATCTGAATATGCTTACATTTGGGTATGATCTGCTTGCTAGTGGTGCTTGGCCACATGTAGTGTCCATGACAACTGAGCGCCACCAGCCTTGCAATGATAGCCGTCTTTCCATAGCCAATGTTGCCAGTAATTAATATGCCTCTGTTAGTTGTCGGGTCATTGCCGTGCAGATGGGTGTCAACTTCCTGGAAGAGCCACTCTCTGCCCATGAACAGCCAATCAGACAACAGACCAGGAACCTCAAAATGGAGTGGTTTCAGGTTGAGGACAGGAGTAAAATCAACTGCAGTATGGAAGAAAGGAAAATTGTACAATTACTGCTATTTTACATTATTTCCAAACATATTTGCTACTCTTTACCGCCGTGGTCCTGCTGATTACGACTCCCAGAATTCTCTCCAGCCATTCTGAGGGACATCTTTGAGGCTAAATGTCTCTGCTGGTCATCCAGAAAGGCTAGGTCTTCAATGTGGGCTGAACTTGTGGCTGGAAAAGCAAGCAAATTAATTTTGTGTTTAGGTGTAAACAGATAAGAGCAGTTCTGTTCTGGAAGTATAACTAGATATTTTTCAAGTAAAAACAAAAAATTACAAAACTCATTTCATTTCAAAGATTTTGTGTTTCCAAATTCAAACAATAAATCATGTGGACTTTTGGTGCTCTGACTTCTAGCATAGCCTATTCCCAGAACCTAGCTATTGCATTATCACCAACTTGTCCGTGTTTCTAACAGATTTTTCCCATGCGGACGCACTAGTTGAGAAGTTGACTCTGGTAATTGGTAGCACCATAGTCAGAAATGTGGCACGAGAGATGGAGACACCAGGGATCAGAGTCAAATGTTTGCCAGAGCTCAGAACAGGCAACGTCAAATTCTACCTGTAATTAGTGGCTAATATCTGATAACATTCATTGACGCATGTCTGGTTCAAAGTAACATTCCAAACTTTGAAGGACGTGGTGCATTAAATATTTTAATGGAAGAGTAGACAGTTTATCTTGTTAAAAAAGAAAGTAATGAGTTAATTTGACTGTAACAAGCGCAGTGCACTGCACAATTAAATGCACACATGGCACACTGAGTTGTAAGTTAATCAATCGGGTTGAATCAGGCTCAGACAAAATGTCTGGCTAGGTCTGGGTTGAACAGGATGTTTTTGGGTTCGATCTAAACTTTAGCAGAGCTTTGTCCTCCAAATACTTTTGCTCATATACAAGCAAGAGGATATCAATACTTTTGCATGTAACTTTGTGCACCAAGGAAAAGCTTACATTATTATTAGAAATGTGGATGTTTAGAATTCAGAAAATGCAATAAGTAATAGTGTCTGGAAATAGAAAACATGTATCTTCTCCAGTCAGTCAGCCTACCTACAGTCTAAAGAACTGGCTGTGTGTTGTCACCTGCAAGCATGAGTTAGAGAAATGGTACAAATGTCATTTCCTTCTTTTGCTCTAGAGGAAAAGACAAGAGGGAGAATGTGTTGTGACTGTGCTGCACAAACAATGTCACTCAGACCTGAGCCTTCTGATTTTAGGTAGATGCTTTAAAAATGACAGATAACAATCCTCTTTGCTTCACAGCTCTGGTGAGTATATCTAACAAAATAAATTTTGTTTTGAATGCAACTGGTAATGAAGTAATACTTTCCTGACTGCTGCCTGTGAGAAAAAGTGCTGAAGTTCCTTCCTGCGTGTGTGTGTGTGTGTGTGTGTGTGTGTGTGTGTGTGTGTGTGTGTGTGTGTGTGTGTGTGTGTGTGTGTGTGTGTGTGTGTGTGTGTGTGTGTGTGTGTGTGTGAGTGTGTGTGTGTGAGGGAAGGGGATGCATATGCATGTGTGCATGAACACACTGGAACACACTACAACACATCTTACCAGCGACTGAATTGGGGCGTGGAATGAGGTTGAGGGCTATGAAGTGGCTGGATCCAGAGGAGCGTGAACAGCTGGATCCTCGGTTTGGGTGGAGCTTGTTCAGGCTGTAAGTAGAAGCATACAGGCTGTCTTCTATTCTGTACATCGAGCTGCCGTTGGTGCGACTTGTAGATCTCACGCTCGAGGACAAAGTGGACGCCACCACTGGCAGGTCTTCCTGCTGGCAGATGCTGAGGGTGCTGCCGTGGTGACTGTTACTAGAACACTTGGTGCCGTCCTCCCGCTCTACAGCAGAGTCAGCAGAATAGCTGGTCAGCATGACTGTAAAAATGTACGTGAAAACCTTAAAACAGTAATCAATTTAGCACAAAGTCTTGTGAAAGTTTTTATAAACTTTTCTTATTATGTCACAAATTTGAATGTCTTTTATAGGGATTTTATGTGACACTTCATATCATTGAGAAATGAAAAACTTCACAATAATATCAAAAAGTTACATACATATTAGTTTAGTTGACTGAATGAGGTCATGGGTACTCTGCCTTACTCTCACAGTGTCTAAATTCTCCTTCGGCCTTGATGTAAACCTTTGTTGTCCTGTGTGTCTGTGTTGAGCAACCTGTCCAGGTTGTACCTCGTATATTGCCTAATGTCCACTTTATGTGGATAAAGCCAATGGATGGCTGGATAGATGATTATGTGAAACTGCATGTCACTGACATGTATAAAATAAGAACAGTTTATTTTTAATCTGTATAATTGGGCGATGATGGTTTATTTGTCCTTACAGAGCATGCTTGTTAGTCATATAAAAAGGTTTTAATTAAGTGTCATTTTGTTTACGCCGTTGACTCTGGTGGCCTGTCAAAGAACTGTAGAAGCTAAGAAACACTAGTTTTACTGCTTTAAGTTAACATTAAAGAGTGAAACATGCTCTGATATGAAACATTTAAGAATGCACCCCACTCTTGCCAAACTGATTTCCAACTTCTATTTCATGCATAAATGAAGATCGTGCAGACTACAGAAATTCTCAAAATGAGTAATTCATCTGCTACGGGTGATGCTCCAGGAGTCCTTTTAATCCTTTTATGTCTCACTGTGACATGGTTCTCTTATGACTTGAGCAACCCCCCCAAAAAAGACTGGCCAAGGCCGAAGATCACTTCAGTGGAATGTATTATCGATTAATACGGTGAACAAAGATGGCAGATGCAGAATATTTACAAAAAGACGTCCAAGGCAGGTTAAAATCAAAACAGCAATACCTTCCAGGTCAGAGTGTATCACCTTCAGTGTCTAGCTGCAGACTACTTCCCTGGAGCAGAGCTCTCTGCTTTTAAAGCCACAGACTCCACCCACAGAAAGTCCAATCAAGCAAATCAACCCAAAAAACTAACTCAAATAAACTCTTAAAGTATACAAAACAATAATAGGGGGGAAAAATACATGAACTTATCAAAATACAATTGTCAATTTAATAGAAAATACCCAGCACATTCTGATGACATCACCACATCACGTTACTCTCTCCTGGTGCGCCACAATCCGGAAACAATAAAGCCAGTTGAAAATAAAACCGGGAAAATGTGAGACTGAAAATAACAGATCAGGATGAACTGCGTCAGTTTAAGTTGCAACAAAAAGTAAGTTAGCGGTTGTACATGTTTGTGTACGTGTGCGCGGACGTGCTAACACAGACTCTTTAATTAGGTCTCAGCTCGTGACGGCTCCTCCGTCACACTCACCTATGATTCCACTGTCTCTGCTTTCCAGTGTGGAGGAGGGGGAGGTGACTGAGGCATGTTTGCCATTATTGTTACCCTCCATCCTAGCGTGAGGCTGAGGAGTGGTGCAGGGGGAGGAGTTGCTGCTTGCCAGACTGGAGGAAGGAGACATCCTCTGTGGGGAAGGAAAGACACTGACCAATACGTGTATTAATTCACAATAATTGCTTTTATACTGCGAAGTCTTATACTGTATATATGTTGGGATCTATGTCCATGTAACAGGTGGCCTTTTGCAGCTGGTTTTATAGTGGAGATGAAAGTCGAGGCAGAATAAGATGGAAACAACAACAGTTTATTCTTCCAAAACACAGAATCAAGAACAAAACAGCACAGGCACAATTGCAGCCTTAAGTAGTTCTAGCTGTGAAGGATCACACCACTTTCAAATCACAGGGGATATCAATTTACCAATTTTCACCTATGTAAATATATAAAATGCCTTTTACCAAATACAAGCACAATTCTATTTACTTTTTATAAAGATTTTATGTTTTAGCCTTACACCATAACAAAACCTACAAACAATTCCCCACCTCCCACTTTTCCATGGCCTCTTCTGGAACCTTTGATTGGTGTCTGGACCCCAGGGAAGCATTTGTCCAATCACCCTGGAGAGGACACAGAAAAGACAGGTGAGTCACTCCATCCTAGCACCTCCACACTTTACTTATTATGCACAAACATTTGCTCAAATTTTACAAACCAGTAGCTTCTTGCTCTCAGTAACAATGATCGTCCCTTCACAGGCAACCACCTCACTTCTCAATGAGGAGCAGCTGTGCACAGCGCAGAACAAAAGGCTACATGCTAGTCACTACAAATACTCAATAAATACAGTTAAAACATCTTGTGTGCAAATTGTTATTGATGCACAAATCTATGCTTAAGGTGCAGTGCTAAATAAAATGCTAGTTTTAGTTTTTAGTGAAGTGCTCTTAAAGTGCTACACAGTGACTAAGGTAAAAAATAATTCCATCAATGAAGATCTCTTCATTACATTTCCTCTCTTAAGAACACAGTACCTCAGTCCTCTGCTATTCTAGATAAACAATCAGCAACTTCATTGGACTTCCCTGGCTTGTACTGGACTGCAGTGACAAGTACCATCCAGCGATGGAAGCGTTGGCATCCCTCATTTATCTTGACCACTGGAGGGCACAACACTGACCCCAGTATTGGGAAAGACGCTCAAATGCATTTGTTGTAATGCATTTACAACAAATGCATTACAACAAAAGACAGCTCAAATGCTGTCTTTGGGAAAGAGCATTTGAGCTGTCTTTCCCAAAGACCAAGGTTTTTTCCCAAAAATCAAGGACTCCAGAATGAACCAGAACTCAGTAATGGTCCACTAAACAGAACTTTCATCTTTATCTCCAGTCCATTCCCGTCTCATTCACTGGTTGCATTCAAAGTTTTTTGCTCACCATGGCACCAGTAGAATCACTGCCCTCATTTCTCACCATTTCAGGTGGCCTTCCATGCATAAGGACATCTAAGAATACATACTCACCTGATATTAATGTAGCCTTGGTACAAACATCACATATTGACACAGTCAATTTGTGATGACATTAAGCCGGTTGTTTAGTTGTGTCAGATATTATGTATTTTCAGAAAAGTCTTATAAAAATAACATTTTTATAAGACTTTTCTAAACACCTAACAGGTGAGTATGTATTCTTTTTTCAAACCCTTACATTGTCCTCCCACTGGACTTCCATTCTTATGTCCTCGGTCTCATATCACCCTAAATTTTGTCACTGGACTGCTGCCATATCAGGGTATGACCACCACTCTAACCCCGTATAAGCAGAAGGGAGGAAGGGAGGGAGCGACGATCCCAATATCATGACAATATGTGAAAGAAAAAGTTTGGGGTTACATACATACCTGTCCATCATTTGGGCTGTCATAAGGTAAACACGACTCTACAACTGTGACCTTCTCCCCAAGGAGGAAGCCCAGCCGGGTCCTCAGAGCATCAGCCGCTTCGTCTGCTGAAGGTGGTGGTCCCAACTCCTCTGCCTCATCTGAGGAGCAACAAACAGCACAGGAGGGGAAATGGATTCTCACTCATTTGAACAAAAATTAGAAAATAATTATGTGATCTCTGCTGTCAAAAATCCTTTAACTCAAAGCCTCCAAACTCTTGGAGACAAATCAGTATTGTACTCCTTCAGCAGTTTCAACCACTGCCATTCTATTTCTACCCGTTGTAGATGCCACAGATTTTTTTTTTTAATATATATTAAGTCTTTCCTTCCTGATAAGCTTTTATGAAATAATTTCTTAGTCTAAAAATAGGTTGGTAAGAATAAAACATAGTCAACATGCTACATTGCCTGTCCAAATGGACTTAATAAAGCAAGTGGCTAAAAGCATCCAGCTAAATAAGGCTTAATGATTTTGTTTCGGTTGAGGACAAGTCATTTAATTCCAACTAACTTCTTAAATTACCCTGTTGGAATACACACCGTGTTGAAGAAATTAGGCTAATGTGCTTTATGAAATTCAAATTAAAGTTCATTAAACCAAAAACATCTCAGGAGATTATTGGAGCTACAAGAATTGGGTTAAAAAAATTGCTCAACATATTATGAAGAACTGGAAAGAACCTGAAGTATCTTGATCTTTGGGGAAGTCGTGGGATTTTTAAATATGCAGCACACTTGTTATTTTCGATGGGTAAAGAGGAAAGTGTTCAATGCAAAGGGACCTTCAGAGATCTGAGACTAAACAGTTGTGTTCAGATGCACAGATCAATGAGAGTGTTTCAGTTACAAATGTGAGCAAATATCCGGTTTTATTCTGGTAATGTCAAAAAACAGATTTTTCCAATTGTGGTTTCTATTAAATATAAAATAAAATTAAAATCATGTATGTGTTGCTGGGCTCAAGCACAGATGACATCCAGAGTTGTCTTTGCGAATTACAAAAAGAGTTTTATTTACCTTTATACAAAAGTCTGCCTGTCAACACTCGGTGCCTAACGCTACCCAGCAGAACGGGAAAAACAGTATACTGCCGAGCAAACGGCACGTTCCAGGAACACACCTCACAGCGACGCATTCACTGACAATAACAGAAATATGAGTACCAAAGATTAATACATAAGACAGACACAAAACCAAGTTCAGAAGGAATTAAGAAACTACAATGAACAATGAATGAACTTATCATAAACAAAACAGAGTGGGTGGGGTACCTAATAAACTAATAAATTCAGTGTCTCTCACACATGTATAAACTTTTAATAAGTCATTGAACATCATGGCAGTGACAAATATAAACAGTTCCAGGAGATTGTATTCATAATTCAGCCATGGTGTTAGCGCTCATAATCAGCCATCAGAGGAGACGTTGACCTTTTATGGATTAAATTTGGGAATCTCACACATTCAATCACATTTTGAATGACAACTTTCAATGAACTGTGTGATGCTGTGGGAGCTCTGGTGGAGCCAGCTGCAATGTCCAAATAAAACAAGGGCAAAATACAAACCACAAAGAAGAATACTTCCCGTTGTCTTCCTCGTGGTTTTCGCTTGATTTGTGTGGCACAAAAAAAGTTTTCATTCATCTGTAAAATATATCTATTTTTGATATGGCTGAAAAATCACCTCATCCCAGCAAAAAATATTTTTATAATTTTTATTGTTATTTTTTATTTGTAATTTCAATTTGCACAATTTTATGGGTAATGCAGACACAGCTATTGAGTCTATTTGTAAAAAAAAAATTAAATCTATGAAGAAGACTAAAGACATGATTCTGGAGCAACAGAAAAAGGTCACATGGTCTGATGAGTATATGTAGTCTGGACTCATGATATGGGTCCATCCTGATGCGCTCATCAGGTAAGAAGACAGATGAAGTGACGCACACATCATCCCAACTGTCTGCTGTATAAGCTATGATCTGTCAGATCTGTATAAGCTATGATCTGTCAGATCTGTATAAGCTATGATCTGTCAGATCTGTATAAGCTATGATCTGTCAGATCTGTATAAGCTATGATCTGTCAGATCTAGGTGCAGCAATTATGTGCTTAAAGAATGACATCAGAATGACACCTGAAAATTTGTACCATATTTTAATAACTAATTGAATAAAAAGAATAAATACAATAATACCATATGTTCTGGTAGCATATTTTTTTTCTTCCCCAATAGCACAAGAATGTTCCAAAACACCAGGATTCCTCAGATTCAATGATGAGAGATTCAGATGAGAGAGGTTAAAGGGCATGATTTTCATATCTGGCCTATCCCATTGCTTTCAAATCTTCTGTTGTGGCCAGGAATCACCATATTTACCCCCTTTCAGGTGTCCTAAATTGTGTATTAATTATATTTTAATTTATGAGTATTTTTTAAATATATATTTATTAAGTTTTCAAAATCAAGCACATATAAATCATACACAAGAGTATGAAACATATTTATGTATATAAGAAAATATACAGTACAACAATACGACAATGAAAATAAAAACATATAATAACTAAAAATAAAAACAACTCTAGGAAATTATCTAAATATCTAGTTACACTGCACTGATTGCCATTTGCACTTTAGGAAAGTACTAGCAGTCTATAATGGGTGGTATACTAAGAGGCTGAGCGAGAGTCGGGGACATGGTCCAAAAACAGCTGCCAGATGCTACAAACTTATTAGTGGAGCCCAAAACATCATACCATAGTTTCTCCAAATGAAGAATCTCAGTAAAATCACTTAACCACATTTTAAACTGAGGAACCTTGTCAGTTTTTTACAATCTTAATATTACTTTCTTAGCTATTTCCAATCCATACACCACAGTGGTTTGCATAGATATGTTGCGGTTCCTAAATGAAAAAGAATATCCAAACAATGTAACCTGAGGGTCTGAAGCCAACGTGCACTTATATACTTCAGAAACCATTTTGAAAATGTCACACCAATATTGTGTTTGTGACATGACCAGAATAGATGTGACCGGGAGCCATCACCAGACTTACATTTATCAAATTTTGAAGATATTGAGGGGAATATTCTGTGCAATTTCATTTTAGAATAGTGGAGTCTATGAAACACCTTGAACTGAATTAACTGGTGCTTTACATTGATAGAACATGATCGAATCCTCCCAAGACCCTCCTCCCAGACCTCACTCCCAATCTGCAAACCCAGCACCTCCTCCCACTCAGCTCTCAAGGAATTTGTGGTAAAATTAATTCGCTCTGCAGAGATGTCAATAAAATTTGAGATTTTTTGTTTTTATTCTGGAGAGCCCAACAGCATTTAGCATATCTTATTTTCTTCCAGAAGAGTTTGGGATGCCAATTCAAACATAATTTCTCATTTGAAAATATCTGAAAAATTTGCATCCGAAAGAGAGAAACAGTCCCTCAACATTGCAAATGAAGCAAACGTTTTTCAATTTTTTAAGTGCAGTTAGGCCTTTTAGACTCCAATTTTTAAATGATATATCAGATAGAGATGGGGGAAAACCATGGTTATGGTCAATTGGGCATGAACTGTGGTAAGTTACATTATACCTTAATTTGTTTCCATATTTTCAAACAATTTAAAACAATCAAATTATTTATTCCACTCTTTGTAGGAGATATTGGTGCTGAGAAAAGAAGTGCCGAAAGAGAACTGTTTATAACAACGTACTTCTTTCAATAGCCACCCACAAGGAAAAAATTTGCAGACAGTTCTTGAGCATCACCTTACTGCCAGTATACCAAGGCCCTTGCATTCACGGTCCAGTAAGAGTGCTGAAAGCAGGGTAGTCCTAATCCCCCATCTCTCCTGGTTTATATAAGTGAGTTTTTGATATTCTATAGGCTTTAAAGCCCCAGACAAAAGGCAAAATTATTGAGTCCAACAATTTAAAAAAGGACTGTTAAAAAAAATAGGCAGTCCCGGAAAAAGATATAAAAATATAGGCAAGGACACCATTTTAATTGTATTTATGTGGCCCATCATTAAGAGTGGGTGTTTTCCATTTATCAACATCTTTCCCAAGATTATCCACTTTTTTGAAAAAGTACAATTTGAAATTTAGTTTGGAGTCTTTTGGCAAAATAACTCCAAGATATTTCATTTAGTCAATTATGTTAAATAACAGGTTATCTAAGAATTCAGAAGTAAGGCTTGCACCTAATGACATAAATTCACTCTTCTGCCAATTAATAGTATAACCTGAAATCTCACTAAATGACCGAGTAAGGTCTAGGAGAATTGGGACTGACAACATCATTAGCATACAGTGAAATGTGATGGTCAATGTTTCTCAATTGAATTGGTTTGATTAAGGAGTGTTTTCTAATGGTGAGGGGCTCCCTAGTGACCACAAAAAGCAAAGGACAAAGGGGGCAACCCTGACGGGTTCCCCAATGTAGAAGAAAGGGTTCTGACTTGTCCTGGTTTGTGAGGACAGAGGCAGATGGTTGAGTATACATTGTTTTAATCCAAGACACAAATTTACTATCAAACCCAAATTCCTCAAGTACAGTCAGGATGGAAGGCCACGCCAATTGGTCAAATGCCTTTTTAGCATCCAGGTAAAGAACAGCTCCCTTAAACTTACTGTCATATTTATGATACATAATCTTCTCTGACCGCCTGATATTAAAAAATGAAAACCTTTTTGGGACAAAGCCCATTTGGTCTGGGTGAACAATAAACAAAATATGTTTATTTAGCCTATTTGCCAGTACTTTAAGGAATATTCTAATGTCACAATGTCTTGTAAATTAACATATAATACTTGAAAAAAATAATTATTCTGCCTCTCCAAACTGAATTATGTCACTAGCCTTGAAAGAGCACTGCCACCTGCAGTAGCCTAACCAGCAAATTCACAAGGTTAGTGCAAACAGCAGGAATGAACAGGAAATCAGAGAGATGGATGGATGAAGCTAAAGAGAATGGATTGCTGCCATGAAAGTTAAGACATTCTGTAAATATCTATAAAAATAAACAGCAATATACTTTTCTGAAGAGGAGAAGGATGGGATATAGTTTGCTGAATTTATACCTAACTCAGTTTCTCTATCCATTACTCCTCTGTTCCTAGCCAAAAACTTCATTCTTCATATAAACCTAAAACTCAAAAAAGTGAGGACCAGGAAATGGTTCCCACAAATGACCTCTCTTTGTTGGTAAATATTATGATACATTTAGTATAGTATACACACACAAACATAAGATAAAAGATAAGAAGTCATAAACATGTGTGTGTATGTGCATATGTTCACACTCATGGAAGGGTTTGTGTACGTCTGGTTAGTCAATGATAGAGTGGGAGAGATTTTTTTATCTACCTACTCTGTTACCCATTACACGGACAAGTTACGGCTTGCTGAGTCCAATTGGACAATTTTTCTTAACCTTCCTGCAGTCTTATTGAAATGCTTTGGAGGAGCACATCAAATGTTACGGTCGGACAGCAGTGAAGTGTCATGGGGCGGATTGATGGTTGTGAGGGACCAAACTCAAAAGAGGACAAAAAGGTGTTCAAAATAGAAAAATTTCAATTTAATTCTTAAAAAAAAAAAAAAAGGTAAACAAAGATGAAAGATTCCATACAAAAAGATAAGTAACAAATTTGGAACTAATTTAACTGAGGTCAACTGAACTCAAACCAAACACAAAGAACAAAAGGCTGCTAAAATAGGGGTGGAGTAACTTAAATCTACCACATGAGGGAGACACAACATAACAAAAGAACAAACAAGTACAAAATTAACCAAATCCCTGCTGATGTGTTTCAGGCACGTCCCACCGGGAGGAGGACCCTGGAAAGACCCAGGACACGCTGGAGGGACTATGTCTCCCAGCTGGCTTGGGAACGCCTCGGGATTCCCCCGGAGGAGCTGGAGGAAGGGCTGGGGAGAGGGAAGTCTGGGCCCCCCTTCTTAAGCTGCTACCCTCACGACCCGACCCGACCCCGGATAAGCTGCAGAAGATGGATGGATGGATGGATGAACTAATCACCAAGGTCAGGCACGTGGGGAAGTGGGCTTGAGCCCCCGCCCCTTTTATCCTTGACGTCCCTAGAGCGCTTTTTCAGTTTTTTGGGTTTTTTTTAATTGTTTTCAATTTTTATTTTTACATTTTTAAATGTGTATCAGAAGGCCTGTTTGTGCCACTTAGCAATAACATTTAGCAAAATATAATAGTTTAGCTAAATAAACTAGTCTGGCTGCTCTCGATCTAATAATGACTCAGTTTATGCCTCCATGTTGATCAGTCACCGGGACTATGGTGAGGGGGTCTGGTATTGGTGGGATAAATCTGTGCCTCTATGGCCAAAGCGCAAAAACTCCACATGGTAATGTTTAGAAAAAGTGTCTCAAATCAACCCTGGAAAGAAAGAAGAGATAAGGCAGGACAGGAGTTAAATTTCATTGATTACTCTCTCACTAATGGGCACAAAGATGATCGAAGGAAGGGTTCAAGGTCATCAGGTTTTTATGGAGGGTGCAGCTCTAAATCCAACAGCAAACACAAAAGGATGCACATACACTGCAGAGCTGTTCTATTATGTCTCTGCTGGTGTACTCAGAAATATACTCCATCATGATATAAATTGTTTAAACCGCTATAAGTTTGATTATAGTTTGATTGTAAGCCCCTTTGATTGGGCTAAGACAGATTTCTATCAGAGGCTGTTTGACTTAATGTTGAGAGTATGTCTTTGCTGCTGATCGACAGAAAAACCAGTCCTACCATTTGTCTTGTCCAGGCGAAGATTGAGAAGGGGCGAGGAGGGCAGTGAGCGAGTGAAGCCCTTCGTCATCCTGATGTCTGAGGTGTCCGAATCAATGCTGCTGTTATCTGTTAGTGAGCAAAAAATCAGTCAGAAAGGAAGCACAATCAGCTAGATAAAAATTTGAAGATTTAGACAAAGAATCCCTGCCCCAACACGCTTTAAAAAACAGCTGAATTACCACTTTGGAATGTCTGCGAGTTTTGCAAAAAACGTTCATTTGATTCAGGTGTGAATGAGTAGGGATGCATTCAAAAGTGTCAGAAGACTGGCACTTGAAGACTGGAGATGCCAACTCCTGACAGATTTATACCAAAGAGGAACAGAACTATATAGTGGTGTGCACAATTAGGCTTCAAAAAGACCAGAGAAAACAGCAGGCAGGTGTGGAATAAAGAAGTTCCAATTTGACTGAGCTCAAGTTGTTTAGCATAGATGGTTTGGTTTCCAAATCTTCTTAGTTAACAGACAACTACCTAAAAACAACAGTCACTGGAAATTGTGACAGACAGCAACATCTGAACAAAGTAAAAGATGATGGATGTACAGACCGTTGTTCAGCTTGCGACTCCTGCTTCCAAGCAGCATCTTCAGGCTGCTTCGGAACATAGGTGCAAATTAATATATGTCGTGCTGATCGTCCCTGGGGAAAAAGGACAAAAAGAAAACAGTTTGCTTTCCAGCTGATTGGGCTCAAGAATTTACATTTCCATTACGCAAATGTGTATTATAGTTTGGGGTTCTGCACAACCAGTAAAGACAAACCTTTAGATAGAAGATCTGAAGAGAAGATATTTCATTAATACCCACAGTTTCGCTAAGTGTATTATAAATCCACCAGGCTTTATCTGCGTTTTCAGTGGTGTGCGATGAGCAAGCTGTTAAAGTGATTTGTCTTGGTGAACACAGAACTATGTGTGGCATGTATGTTTACATCTCAACATGCTGCGACTGCACATACATAAATAACATGTATGTGGTCCCGGTTGGCCAGTGGGTTAGTGGTAAAGCTGTTCTGCCTACTGAGGAGAACTGATGTTGGAAGGAGGCCGCAAGGAGATCAGACAAACTCCTCCCATATTGCTCAGGCAACCAAAACATTTACTGTGGTGCTTATTAAAAACTCAGAGCCACATAAATTAAATCTCCTGTTTGTCCCTTTGTATCCAGCATAGATGCATAGTGCAGCGGATTTAGCCCATCATGCAGGGCCAGTATGAAGCCTTGAGCAGAATTTGACTTGCTGCTAAAATCATCACTAACTTTCACAGCATTTCACCATGGATTTAGTATATTCCACTGTACATGGGAGTAGTTCACAGATATATTTGTGAACAAACTGAACTCAAACTCAAAGGTTCAATTTGTCATTAAATTGTTGCCATAGTAACAAAACAATCTCAACTATTTGAACTTTTACAAAGCAAACTTGCCAGCTCCTTAAAATCTTAGATTTAAATATTAAACAATTACATTTTTTTTCATTTTGTATGCTGAAATAATTACATCAAATGTATTGATGTTCTCAATAAAAAAATTTGGATTTGGAAATTGGAAAGAGCAAATAATTGATATTCATTTTAATTGCTTTTTTTGTTTGTTTTGGTTTTCAGACTCTATAGTCGTGGGTTTAAATTGTATCCCAAAGGCGATGTCATCCCAAAACATAATTACCCAGTAACTGATGTATGCTGAAAGCAAATCAAATTGATAATCTCAATAAACAAATGTTACTTTTACATATCTGTGGTCTGTGTTAAAATATTAGCATTTATGGGTCCCTGTAAATGGAAGTGCAAATCATTGATATTCAATTTAATTGTAGTTTTTGATTAGTTGTTCTTAAAACCAGTTGTGGGTTTACATAGCATTTTACTGACAATGTTTTCCCATAACTACCCAGTAATATTTTTACTTTTCCTGTCTATTTAGCATCTTTTAATACAAAAACACAGTGGACCACTGGGCTCAGCAAGTTTTTTGGGACATTCAGACAGAAACATTCTCCCATTGAATGGCAGCCAGCACAGTTAGCAAAAGGTTGCACAATCCAAGGTGAGGCTCAGCTTGCTCCTGCCTGCCTCACCAGCTTCGCTTCCGTGCATTTGAATGGCCTTGCCACATGGACCTGGGGTTTGCCGATTTATTTAAAAAAAAAAAATTCTGACCAAAGGCATGTTTTTGAACTCGGTTAGCATGCTCTAGTTGGCTCGGGCTGACCTGAGCACTTTTCTGTCCCCACATTTAAAAGCAGAATTTCATGCTTACATAATCTTACACACCTCCTTTGTCAACCAGGGTTTCTGATTTGTCCTTGTGATGATGGGTTTTGGCTGCTAAAAGCTCCACTTTCTCAGTCACCATACAGCTTTTATGTGTTTGACTGTGGGTAATTAGTATAAAGTTGGTCTCATTTGAGTTTTTTTCTTTTTTCTGAACATCTGTCATGCAGCTGTTGTGTTTGAAGGAAAGTTGTAATGCAAATGCTGAGAGGGGATCAAATCAACAAAGCTTAGAGACATTAAAGCTCCTGGAAAGTTAAAGAAAGCCACACATTGTAATGAATACTCTGTTTTCAGAAATATTTTCAGGTGATTGAACACAATCATATAAAATTATGTTGCCCAAGTACATGTACTAATGTACTAAGTGTATATATTTCAGCATCTAATTTACAAAGACAATCAAACTTAAGATGCAAATATAACCATCAAGTCCATCAGATGTGAGAAACTTGGAAACTTGTGTTGTGTCTTTGCCTCACAACACAGATATGATCTTCCACCACAATGTGAGAGACAGAGAGAGGTCAGCAATCTTTAAAAAGCCTGACCTGCCAATTCTAATTTTGGCTGATACTAACTTTTTGTGTTTCTGAAATGTTGCTATATATAGCAAGAAAGTTGCTGAGTTGAACACAGTGGGAGCACTATTCTTAACTACAAGCGTGCAGATATGACATGGTGGCTGGGTCTGTCAATCAAGCTCTCTCATGGCAGGGTAAAAGAGTACAGTGGTTGATATTTAAACTTTGCTGCGGTAAATAAGATCGGTGAAAAAGATCGGTTTCACAAGTAAGTACTGGCTAATAAATCATCTCCCAAAATTGAGGAAATCATGGCCAATTTATCAGCTGGCCTAGTGAACAGTGCACCCCTATTGAGATATGAAAGAAGCAGAGAGAGAATGGGGAAAGACATGTTTATCAAATGTCCTGAGGTCAGGACTGCAACTCCAGACTAGGGTTCCCATATGGGACGCATGTTCAACCGATGGCCAATGTGTCCCCCTGAAACTATCTGTTCTTTTGGCCTCACATTTAACTTACATGAATTTACATAAATACTGCATCAACACACAGAAACTGTTTGGCAAATACTTCCTCCTAATCTTTCTTTGTTTCTGCTAAGAAACTGTACTGGGCAGTAAATGTGTTATAAATACATTTTAACATCAGCAAAGTTGATTGACAAACAAATTCTTAAAGATTATTTGTAAAACAGAGCAGTAAAAAGCATCAAACACTGAATATTCTGCATAATTTGTTTGTAGAATGTCAGGAGTTCTTGTCAGATTTAATAGAATGGTTATTCTTTTTAACAAGCTGATTTTTCATGCCATCAGAATCTTATACCAGCCGATTCCTGATTGCCATCATCAAAAGAAAGTTAGAAAGGAGTACAGCTAGGTAACACAAGCACACAAGCAGACACTCCATCACTGGGGGCATCCTGACAGAGAGCATTAGTCTACTTTAAAATAATATTAGACTCTGGTTCATTATTCGGAAAAGTGTAGTGGATCATCAAAGACACTGCACACTCAAAAAACACTTATGTCTGTTTATTTGCAAGTCCCAAAACAGCAACTCTCGATTCATTAAATCCGCAAGCCACTTTAGCAAAAAAACAAACCCAAAGCTTCCTATAATCGGACCTGGTGAGCGAAACTCAAAATAGGTTCTGTTTTTCCAGCAACAAAATGCGCATCTTGCTGCTGATACTGTCACATAGGAACGCCGGTCACTCCCCAAAACGCACAGAGGAAATACAATTAAAGTACAAAAGAAAATAGTAATGCTCATTAATGCAAAATAATTTCGAAAACTAACTGTAGTCTGACGACTGTATTTGAAATAGCAAGTCGTCAAAATCTGGGTAGTACTTCTGTAAAGTAGGCAAGAGCAAGCTGGCTACCTTCGCCTGCACCATGTGGGTCACCGTTCTTCTCCTGAGTATTTCTTTTTGATGTTTTAAAAGGTTTTGGGCAATGTACAATTTTAGCATCCTAACACTTCCATGCTTGTGTCATTTACAATGCAGTGATAAAAAATTACGTGTAAAGCCACGTGACAGAATCATTTGAATTCTAGACACCAGCTCCAAACATTGTACTCCAAAATTTTGGATAGGTATTAATTCTGTATTCTTGTCTTAATCTATACATCGAGGTTGAAATAATAAGTTATATAGATAGCTTATTATAAATTATATAAGTTATATAAATTACATTCTAAAAGCTGTAATAAAAGAAACTATTTTTCTCATAAAAATAATTGTAGCTTTTTGTCGTAAATAAATTGGACTGCAATATAGATTTGTTTTAAACAGTTAAAAAATGTGAAAAGTTCAAAACAGATATTTAATTCTACAAGCAAATGCAAACTACCTCTTGTTAGAAAAACAACTGGGGGAATATACAAAGAAGTATACAACTTATAAATAATGTTTCTTATAAGAAGATAATGTTTTGGGTGTGTTCACAGCATAAATAACACATTTTTGTAAAGTGCATTGAGATAACATCTGTGGTAAATTGACTCTCCAAAAATAAACCGAATTGGACTGAAATTGAATTGAACATGTAGAGCATGTTTGGTTGTGTTGGAATGAACAACCATAGAATTACATATAAATCAGATTGAACTGTGTATCAATGTACTGCTGTTCATAAGTGCATTGATACTTATACAAGCCCCCAGGCTTTGAAAACAGCAGTTATCAAACCACTGCTAAAAAAGAACAATCTGGACAAATCACTACTGCAGAATTACAGGCCGACCTCTGACCTCTGACCTCCCATTCATCAGCAAAGTTATTGAAAAAACTGTGTGTAAACAATTATATAGTTTCCTCATGATGACCAACTGCTTTGACTCTTTCCAATCTGGTTTTTGTGCTCACCACAGCACGGAGACTGGACTAGTCAAAGTATTCAATGACGTCCATATAAATACGGAGTGTGGGAGAACCACAGTGCTGGTTCTGTTGGACCTCAGTGCAGCTTTTGACATATTACTGAATCGACTGGAGAGTTGGGTTGGACTCTCCGGTTCAGTTTTCAACTGGTTTGAATCTTACATAAACAACAGGGATTTTTTTGTTTCAATAAATGTGTGGATGTGCCAAAACTTTCTCCAGATGAACAGAAACGAAACTGAAGTCATTATTTTTGGACCTAAAGAGGAACGATCTTGAGTCAATGCACAGCTTCAGTTATTACAACTAAAAACTAGCGATCAGGCCCGAAACCTGGGAGTAGTGATGGACTCGGACCTGAACCTTCAGAGGCACATTAAGACAGTTACAAAATCGGCCTTCTATCACCTGAAGAACATCTCCAGGATTAGAGCACTAATGTCTCAGCCAGATCTAGAGAAACTCCTCCATACGTTTATCTTTAGTTGCATTGATTATTGCAACAGCGTCTTCACAGGCCTGTCCAACAAATCAATCCTGCAGCTGCAGCTGATCCAGAAGCTGCTGCTCCTGTTCTCACTAAAACCAGGAAGATAGAGACATAACAGCAGTTTTAAAGTCCCTCCACTGGCTCCCTGTAGCTCAAAGAATAGACTTTAAAATACTGTTGTTAGTTTATAAATCACTGAACGGTTTAGTACCACAATACATTAAAGATCTGCTGTTGTTGTATCAACCTTACAGACTCTCAGGTCTTCTGGTTCTGGTTCTGCTCTGCATCCCCAGAACCAGAACCAAGAGAGGAGAAGCAGCTTTCAGCATCTATGCACCAAAAATCTGGAACAAACTTCCAGAAAACTGTAAAACAGCAGAAACCCTGACTTCCTTTAAATCTCAACTAAAAACACACCTGTTTAGAATTGTATTTGAAATGTAATATGGAACAATGTATTGTTTATTCCATAATGCATGACTTTGTGTTTTTATGTTTATGATGTAAAGAACTTTGAAATGCCTTGCTGCTGAAATGTGCTATACAAATAAAATTTGATTTGAATAAATTGGCAGTTTTCTACTTAAGAAGGGCTTTCAGATTACACATGTTGCAATGTACTTTCAGTTTAGTTGCAAACTAAATTGAAAGGACATCACTCAATCTAGTCAACCTAATAGCTATTGTAGTCTGTTCATTTGTTTAAGGGGGGTGTATGAGTCAGCTAATTAAACTAGTACTAAACATAGGGATATTTGGGGGGAAGTTAAAGCAGGGTTAAACGCCAACAATGAAGTGCAGGATGAAGGAGATTACTATGGGATTACATCCATTTGAATTACTAGTGTCCAACAAGACAAGGTGGGGAATACAAAGGACCTCAATAAACAATTTGTTCAAGTGTCAGATTCTCCATGAACATGGTACATAAGAAGAACTTGATATGAATTCAGGTTCATATCACCTACACTGTGAAATTCTACAGTGCCAGAAATGTTCCAAGTGTGAAAGTTATTCCTGAAGTATCCAAACAAAGGATTTGTGTTTCCTGTCAAAACAACTTCAAATCTCCAGCTGCCTCACCAACATCAGCCCAGTACACCATTAGTCTATTTCCAGTAGCCAAAACAACTACAGTGTTGTTGTTTTTTTTCACACACACTACAGGCACCATGTCACAGAAAAGAGACTCTAGCATCACGGACAGTATATGAAAATAGTTGCATTACCTTCATGTATTCATTGCACATTTTAAAGGGATATGTACTCCCTGTGGTCATTCCGCACTGATCTGCTGAGATCAGCACAAAGTGACTACTATAATATTCATCAACACAAGCAACATTACTGATCTCAAATTAAACACCCAGATCATTCTGTTCAGCACATCAACCTCAGTTCACTTAGAATTTTTGATTTGAGTAGAATTATTACAAAGGCTTGGCTGCATTTTTTTTTTTTTTTTTTTTTTTTTGATAAATTTGGAAGGTGTGATGGCGAAGAATTTGTTCACACGAACATGCAGAACAAACGCAGGCGCTCAGTGATAAATCACAGGCACAAAGCACATCGGTCACACTTCCGTTTCCCAAAACACACACACTGAAATAACCCTTGCAGACACAGTGAACCCACCTCAACTATTGTCTTTCCTCAATACACGTGCGATGAAAACGACGTCTGACTGGTAGACTGACTGGTCACGGCCGTCTGTGCTCTTTTCCTCCCCTTAGTGAATCCTCCTCCGTAAATACCAGCGGAGTCGAAGCACAAGGCGGATTCCAGTGTCTTCCTACGCCCATTTCATCACCGGAGATAAAGGGTATCCTAATCCTTCACGGATGGTGATATTATAACCGTTAATCTCCCTCCACGAGTGAGCAAGCGCTGACGTCTGGAGACTTCCTTCTGGCACTCGCATCCTTCTCCTGTTCAACGGGAGGTGTGCTATTATTCATGAGAGGGGCGTGGTTAACACACTGACTGCGCTTTGGTCCGAGCCACGAACAGTAGAACCTCCTTTCCTTCCCTCGCCCCACCCCCCACTTCACCCGACCCCCGAAGCAGCGTCTGTCCAGTGAAAACTGATTGAATAAGGACATCTAGTGGTCAAAGGGACACCTGCACCCAGAAAAATGAAACACCCTCCCCGCAAGGACAGTAGAATGGAGACATTCTGTCTTGGCTTGTAACTGAGAAATTGACAGCATTACTTGTAATCTGTGCATATATGTTGAAGTGTATGGAGGACGTCCTTGGAACCAAGATTATCGAAACATGGTCAATTAGAAACCCTGGATTACAAAGGAGGTGTGCGAGTTGCCAAGGGCTGCTTTTAAATGGTGCTTGTAAATGTGGAAACAGAGCAGTACCATATAGTGAGGGTTAAAATAATAGTAATAATAAATAAAATTGTTTCAGTTGCTATATTCACCCAGTGGTTTGTACTACAAAGTTATTTTTCCACCAATTTTGATTTCCATCTTCTACATAATCTCATTACTAAACAAAGGAAAAAGAACAAATTACTGTAATTAACTCTGCATGTTTTGTTTTACATAGAAGTCCTGGATCATCATGCATCTGTGTTTTTTGAACAAGGTTATGGTTTCTTCCAGGTAAGGAGTTATTTCCATGGTTGCTAAATTCTCTGTCTGGAAGAGAAATTCCTGAAAAGTTGCTGGCTGACTTTTGTCAACTTGGATTTAAAAAAAAACTCTTTACCCATAGACATGATAAATGACACTGTGTACATTGTCTTGTCTCCAATGAGAAACTGAATGTTATGTAATTGATGTATACATTTCTGAAGGATTGTTTCCACAGAATGATGCTACAATATAAAATAGGAAGAAAGCTTTATTTATTATTCTTTTCATCCACATAAAAATACAGCTCTCCTGGTGATGATAGTATTTTCCAGTTCTTCAAAGGAAAAACAAAAGACTGCGAACTGTTTATGAAAACAATGAATTGGTTCTGCAGATCCTTTAGAAAAAAGTAGTCCTGTCTTGATTCAATCCTGCAAAACAAGGAAGAAAACATGTCAAATGATACTAAAATAGTGTTTTGATTATCTATCAGCAATAATAATGATCATTACAGCAGCAAACAGCTGCTATGAGATTGTGGTGGCTGTAGGTTTTCCTGCCTTGCCATTCATTGCTGTCAGAAATGCTCTCATTTGTTCCCTTGGAGATGCACTTGATGAATCTTGAAAATGACAATCAGTCCAGTTCAGTATAAACCCAGCAAAAAATCTCTAAGGTTTGGCTAAAAACTGATATTGTGCAAAGGAGTTATTCTCACTTCCTGTTTCATGGTGAGGACATCCTATAGGCTTCTGAATGCATCATGAGTGGTTATCATGGGTTAGTGTATACAGTTTCAACCTTATACACAGGGAGAAGCTGGAGGAGTCACCTAATAATCCCCAGTTTCTACTTTGAGAGAAAGGCGCATAAGTGATGTCATGAAACTACCACACCAATATGTGTACCAGTATTCCTATAATGCACAAACAATCCGATACAGATGACATATCAGGGAAATATGAAGCCTAGGCGCAAATTCAAACTGGAAGACTCTTCTAACCCCACCTTCATCATCCAACCGGTGCCACCTGGTCATCACATTAATCAACGTTGGTCCAAGATATGTCACGTCCAATCACTGTCCAAGTCCCAGCTGATAAGGACCTCCATCCTTGGCGTCTTCCACTTTCCAGTAGAGCTCAAGCAGCACGCAATCTCTATGTCCGAATTCGAGTCCGATCTTCTACCGGATAATCCAGTGGCCTCTCTGGGGCCCCCGGCTCCTCTACCTCTTCCCTGATTCGCCACAGTGTTCGTCTGGCCTCACGTCCAAATCCTTTATCCCCAACTTCCATCCTCCAAGCTAAAGGCATTGCTCTCACCCCTGGCCTCCGGTCCTCTCAAGTAGCTTCATTCACCACTCTCCTGCCATTCGGTGACTCTTCTCCGTCCCTTTGTCCACCCCCACCCCTTCGCCTCTACTAGTCAGCGGGAAGAGAGCCGCCTCCCCCTTTCTCAGTCACTAGAGCCTCCTACACCTCCGGCTCCAGGTCCCATCCACTCACGCTTCAGATCCAACACCAGACATCCCAGGCCCGTCTTCAGGTCATCGCTCTCTGTCCTTTCCTCCTTCTGACCAGACCCACCTCCTCACATCAGCGCTCATTAACTCCATGGATTCTCTTCAGCGTTCCATTTCTTCCCTGTCAGCTCTCCTCCATCACAATGCTCTGGACACCAGCTACCCATCCTCAGCTTCCTCCACTTCCATACTCGCCAACTCTCGGTCTGCCCCTCAGCTTCCCCCCTTGGAGGACCATCCGGCGCCCCCTCTCAGAACACCCTACATGCCTCAACGTTCAAACATTTCTCCCAAGCTATGTTCTAAGATACTTCAAGGACAGAACATTCATCTGGCTTCCATTCTTTTATCTTCCCCTAAAGTCGACCAACGCGTCGTTTCATCCGAAAATTTTTCAAGTCCTCCGATCCCCACCTCTCGAAGGATCATTCTATTGGCCAGTTCCTAGCAACTTTCAGGGTGTGTAGAGATGTCATCTGTTCCACCTACTCCTAAACAGAGTCGAATTAGACGCTTATTTAGCTCTTATTGCCAATCATGATATATGCCCGTTCGCTGTTCGATCAATATCATAAAGCTTTTGCAACAAAAGCTGCCGCAGTCCTCTCCCACTCTTGTCTAAGCTCTAATTGGTCTGTCCTGGATATGAAAATTCTCATGCTCATGCAATCCATTTCATGCTTTCAGTGCGGGTCCATCGGACATCAGAGTGCTTTGTCCCCCTTTCCCTTTCAAACCCAGTCTCTCCGTCACCGCACCTCCGCAGCCTCTCCTCAATCTCGGCCCCCCATTAAAGGAGAAAAGTGCAGGTATTTAATAACATTCCCACCTGCAATAATTTTAACGAAGGCATCTGATCATTTCCCATTTGTGCTTTCCTTCATCAATGCCAATTTACCACAGATGCCTCAGTTTATCCCTAAGCCTCAGTTTTCTCTTTATCCCTAAGCCTCCATTTTCTCTATAGGGTGATGGATCACACCATCACCCTCATTGAATCCAATGGGCAGGGCACGTGGCTGGCCAAAGCCAACATTACCAACGCCTATAAGATCTTGCGTGTCCATCCCTCTCAGTGGCACCTTCAAGGCGCTAAGTGGGACATCAAATTTTATTTCTTTGTGCGTCTAACATTTGGATGCAGGCGCAGCCCCCGCCTATTTAACATGTTATCAGAAGCCCTTTGCTGGATTCTTCTTAACATTGTTAGGCTTCCCTCCGTGCTTCACCTCCTTTTCAACCCACCCCTCAAAACGTCCCCGTACCTTCAGAAACTCAAGGAGCTGTTCTATCGCGTCGGCGTCCCCCTCTCCGAGGAGAAAACCGTCGGTCCATCCAAGAAGTTAGAATTTCTCGGCATTTCCCTGGACTCTGAGAAGGTGCAGGTTTCATTACCTGCATCTTGTAATGAATAAATTAGATAAATTATCCCACATACGTGAAATTTCCCAGTCCCACCTCTTGTCCCCAGTACTTTCTAAATGCGAGCTTTTATCCTTGCTCGAGCATCTCAACTTTGCCATGTGCATCATTCCCCAAGGGCTTTCATTTATTTCCAGACAGCTGGACTTAGCTAATTCGGTCTCTTCCTTACTCGATCAAGTCTCATTAGACGACGGCTGTCGCTCCGATCTCTCCTTCTGGTCCAAACTACTCAGCCATTGGAATGGTATTTCGTTTTTCCATGATGTCGTCATTCTATTTGCTGACTTTTACACAGATGCTGCTCCATCCGCAGTGTTCGGAGAGTATTTTTAGGGTAGGTTGTTCGCCGAGAAATGGCCCTCTTTGATTCCCCAAACTGAGTCTTCGGCCTTCTTCAGCCCCCATCGCCATGCCTTGCCGGCTCTGGGGCAGCTTTTGGGCACGAAAGCAGATTGTTGCGTTCTGCGACAACGCAGCCATTGTGGAAGCTATTAATAAAGGTCGCTCCTTCTCCATATCTATCATGCCTTTTTTACATTGCATCACCTGGCATTCTGTCATTAAGAATTTCATTCCATCGGCGTGCCACATTCCAGGTCACTCTAACACCATCGCTGGCACTTTCTCTCGCCTTCAGTTTCAGATCTTTTGTCGCCTTTGCCCATCAGCCGACCTCCTCCCGACTCCTGTTCCTCCCTTCGAGGATCTCTCCCTGAATGACGCCCCTCCAGTCTCCAACCTCTGCTCCAATCTCCTCAATTTTACATTAAAAGTGGTCTAGCCCCCTCCACGCTTAAATTCTACTACTTCGCCTGGTGCAAATTTAGTACATTTTGCTCATCTCACGGCATCCCTCTCTTCCCTGTCTTCATTAGCACCGTTGTCACCTTTATGACTTACGGTTTCGTTCATCTTCGTTCCAAGCACTCTTATATATGCAGTTTCTTAGCTCATTAATTTCTTCTATCAACTTCACCGAGTTCTATCAACCTCACGAGCCCCCCAGCCCCCGCCCCTTCTCTTAGTCTCTTTTCGAACCTTGTCATTAAACTTCTGCTGAAAGGCTTTGCTAATCAGCTTCTGACGCTCCCTGACGACCACAAACCTATCACCTTCCCTATCTTAAAAAAATTGCTCGTCACTCTTTGCGCAGGCCTGTATAGCTCCTTCCTCCTAGCTTTTTACAGACTCCTTCGTTTGTGGAAATGTACAACTACTTATCGCTTCATCCCCTCTAGTGACCTAGCTGTCGCAGATCTGAAGTTCCACCCAGATTTCTACAGTCTAGCCCTGAAGCACTCAAAATTTAAAGGTGCACGCTCCATCGCCATAGCTCTTATAAATGGTCCTTTTTGCCCCTTTCTGGCTATGTTTGAATTCGCTCTTCTTAGACGCAAGTTAAGCTTCCTCTCTGAATCCCTCTTCCACACCCCGGAAGGCTCACCTATGACTGCTACTTAGCTCCTTAGACACCTCAGACTGCTCCTTGTCACAAACAATCTCCCCACAGCCATTTCTCTGGGAAGTCATTTAGAATAGGAG